ACTGATATGTCTTCCCTAGTTTGAGATGACAGGGACTGTGGTAGAAAATTCGTAGTTCTATGATTACTATTCCTACCCAAGCTAGCAAGGGGATAGATTAAATGTTTCCTGAAAGAAGAAGTAGATGCGGTCCATCAGTAAACCAGCCCATTCCATAGAGCTGGAAAGATCTGAAATCCCTGGAAGAATATCTATCGCCATGTTAGCATGTACATTGACAGATGGCACAGCTTCATATGAATGGGAATTTTAAGTTGCTGTCTTTGAATTGAAAACATAAACCTGAGGCAGGTTTTAGACAGCAGCTGGACCTTCATGAACCGATGCTTGTGGAGATTTCTTCTTTAAGAAGCTCAGACAGTGGTAGCTAAGAGCACCCCAGACAGCACAGCACCTCCTTTAGTAGCTTTCTCCGGAAAAAGCATGAAGCAGCAGCAGCTTGCTCCATGCAGGAACCAAAAAGCAGCTCTCCAGACTGTCTGGAGAGCTTATAAAATTATAAAAACAAAGCAGCAAAAGTCCTTGGCTCAACAGCATTACTTTTAGACTGTCTCTTTGAAGTAGCTAGTCTTGAATCAGTTTATGAGCATCAGCCAAGACAAACACTCGGGTCCATTTGGGAGTTTTGCTTCAGAGCAGCACATTAATACCCTGTAAGCAGATGCAGAGCATGTAGTGGAGGTTTTCTTTATCAGCAGCACTAATCATCCCAAATCTCTCTTGCTTATTGTTAGCACACACTCCTGTCGAGACTGCATCAGGCACAGATGAGCTGTCTTACACAGTGCTTAGATCCTGCAAAATTTATCCTGCAAAAAAACTGGGATAACTGATCCTCTCCTCCAAAAAATGTACCACACAGAAACACAAGGGATCTTAGAGGCTGGCCTGGCCCCTGCCTGGAATTCTTTATTCATACCAGCAGCAGCTGCTCCAGCTAAAGCACCTCTCCTCTCTCTTAGGCCTCCTGCAGACTAAACAACCAAAACTCTGCTCATGAAGAATGGCCAGTAAAAGGGACAGGTATCAAAGGGACTCACTGACTAGAGCAACCAACCTCAACAGTAACAGTATGTTTAGTTAGGAAAGCCCTTGCCTTTCTACCTCCTTCACATACTTTCTATAGTGCTAGGAGAAGTGCCCTGACTGAGACTTGGCTCCTTATTCCTGCAGCTGGCCTTTCAATAGGTAAATCCTTGCTCTTAACACTAGATACAGGGCTGGATTATCCATGATGATTCTTTGCAGTCAGGCACATACATGAACCTACTTCATGTCTGTGCAACTGACCATGTGTTTTTTTTTTTCACCTTTACTATTAAGAGTAGCAAAGAAGAAGGATGTGTCTACTCACAGAATGGGAGCAAAAACCTGATAAAGGAAAAAAATCTTTTCAGTCAGAGACTGCCACACCTTTTTGTTGTTGTGCATGTAATACACAATGGTAGCACTGTAGTGTGTTATATTACTGCATATAATAGCAATTGCCATACCACTGCCTGCAGCAGGAACTCAGTATATGAGGCTCCCCCAAAGCTGTTCTGCATGGGCACATCCCCGCAGTGACTTCTGTAAGAAGCTTGAGTGATAGCTCTGAGTACCTCAGGGATCTGTCCCAGTTACCTCAGCAATTCTCTCTGGTAAAGGTATGAATAAACAGCAACTTGTTCTACCTTGCACAGATGGAGAAAACCATGATCCTCTGTTGCTGCTGCAGATCATTCATTCCAAGGTGCCTTTAAGAAGCGCCTGCACAAGGGAGAGCTCTGCGGCAGCTGCTCCAGAGTTACAAGTCAGTTACTGCATTGCCTGCTGTAGTTGCAGGTTAGCTGCAGAACCCACTCTTGGGTTAAGCACCACAAAGTTGGAGAAAACAGAGAACTTTGCCAGCTTCAGTTCCATGCTCAGTTCTTTTCTGCCACATTCTCCTGGGGCTTGTCACTAAGGTGAGGACACACCACCTTCAGCTAACCAAGTTTCCTACTTTCTTCTTGTCAGTTATAAATCCTACAGCTCCCTCATTTGAGGGTACTCTTCAGATGGCAAAGAGTGATGTTTGGGCAAATGAAAAGTGAGACAAATCAGCTTAAATGAAGGCTGGTTTGTGGTTTATTGCTCAGGAAATGGCAGACAAATCTTGTCTTTGGCAGAGATCTCATGAGCATTTAATCTTGCCATTTCATACCTGGGAAACACTAATATTGCTTAGGATCTCATTTCTTTGTCTGGGGGACTTCGCTGCTTAGAGGGGAGAGGATGATGGCTGTGCTGTAGTAATGTTCACTCAAGTGACAATTAAACCCTTTTGGACTTTTCCAGCTAGTATTCCTGGGAACAACCTTCATCTGCAAATGTAGTTTGCTTTTATACCTTGACTGACAGGAAGACACAAGGTCTGGCCAAACGAGGGCTGAGGTAACAACTTACTGCATGCTGTGAGATTCCCACATCAGAACATACTCTAGGCAAGTTCAGCTTCAGTCCCCATGTGCAACCTAAAGAGAGGCAGATTGTGCCACCCAGCATTGCCCCATATCTGTCCAAGTGGCTATCTGGGATAGGGGGCTTCCTTCTTTGGAGAGCAGGTTGAGTCAATATGGAACAGGGAATGAAGACTGCTGGTCAAATCCATGAGTTGAGCAGACAGTGGCAAGTTACACACAGAATTTTGATTTTCAAACTTGAGCTGCTGAACTGGTACTCAACATAATCCATTGCAAATGCAGCTGGAGGCAAGTCTTGTTGCTGTATTAGTTGTTTTCATAAATTCATTCTTGTTTTAATTCCTTGTAAATCTTGTGGTTCCATTTTTTAAAAATTTTGTCTATTTTCTTGAAGGTATTGAATTAAAATAGCAGCTTGAGAGTTAGTACTATTTTTGGCATATGTGCCAGACTACAATTTGAAACAGATTTATTCTTTTCACTGGTTATTCTTTCAGGATGGGGAGGGCCCAGCCGGAGGTTGTTGTCTGATTCTTAGTTCAGAAGACTTTGTTAAGACTCTACTACCCTGGTCACCATGAAAGCTTCTTTTATATTCTCAATTTTACTATAGTGTAGTAGCTGGGGTTTTATTTGGAAATTACAGGATCATGGAAAACTGGGCTGAGAGGGACATCATGTCTAGTCTAGTCCATTCCACCCTCCAAAGGTAGATCACACATTCCTCTGGTGTTTCTAACGAGAGGATCCCCTAACTTAATCTTAAACCCTCAAATTATATAAATTCCGCAATACCTTTGGGCAACCTGTTCCAATGTTTTGCTATCCGGAGGATACATGTTTACCCCTGTTGATTTTGTTTAGTACTTGGTTGTGCAGCAAAACTTTAAACGGAGATTAGACACAGGAAAGTAAGACAGAGGAAGTATCATCAATGACAATTCTTTACTTGATGGATGCAACCATGTCAAGTAAAGTGTTCCTTGATATGTACAGAGCTCAATATTCGAACTGGCAGAACTTTTTCCCTAAATGCTCAGAACAAATTCTGCTGAGAACCTCATCTTTCTCAAAGTTAAGAATCTCCTGAGAAGTAGAACTATAAAATCAGAAGAACATTACAAAGCCTGTGAGATACATTTCTGGGTACACAGTGTGCGGGTAATACTTTTGCAACAGTGCCAGAAAATTTGCTCGTTAATAGACAAAGCGACATCTCAGAAATGAAAGGGTCCCTCCAGAAAATTACAATCCCCTCTGAAACAGATGTTGATATTTCTAAATTTACCAAGACTGTGTTTGAGATTTCACACACACCTCAATAAATAATAAATAAATAAATCAAGCGGCCCTTCACCAAGACCACATAAGATGCTCTTAACTTTCAAGAGAACTACATCTGAGATGGGATAGCGATATTGGTCTCAGGAAGAAAAAATTGCAACTCTTCTAAGAAGCGGTGCTAGAAAGTGGAGTAGGTTGGGTAGGAGTAAAGTCAACACAGAGATCACAAGAAAAAGTAAGACCAAATTCAGTAGAATTGGACAGTAAAGTTTCTGAGCTGAGGATGAGGAAGACATTAGGTTAGAGCTGGGAGGAGTGCTTAACTTCATTGATCCCCTAAATGTTTAACATGAAGGACAAGCATGAGTGTCAGAGACATGATTGCTCTCATCTTAACTGTCACAATTGATACTTCAGACAGTATTTGTCAACCCCAGTGTATCAAGGTGTCCTTCAACATACAACCCCGTGTGTCAAGGTATCATTGAAGATATGAAATGGCATGAGATACTGGTACTTAAGTATCTGGATTCTGCTCCTTATGACCCAACCCTGGTCTTAAACCTTAAAGAAGAAGGACTTGTGTAATCTTAAATTATGTGAGGTCAGAATATTTGTCCTTGTCCTGCAGCAGCTGTGCCAAATTAGTTGGAAGAGGCTGTAGGTTATAATCATACCCCATGGTGCAGGTATACTAGCAAAATACCACAACCCATTGGCCAGGACAATACTTTCAGACAGAAAATGCCGGGGTACTGAATATTATCAGTGAAATCTTATATCCGAAACTAAAGCAATTCAAACCATCACTGAGATGTAGCCCTCCCAGAAGCAACATTTTTTTCCAAAGCTCATAACTCAAAATGAGTCATGCTTGATTAACTTCACTTGGGCCAGAAGACTAATCATGGGATGCTATTTATAATTTATTTAAGGAAAGTCAAAGAGAGCATTAGAATGACATTGAGAATGAAAAACATGTTATGGCCTTAACGTAGTGTCACTGCTATAACCTAATGAAAACAGAGAACTAGGAACCTCCTCTCTTAGCAGGTGTGGCCTTTAATTATTTTTATTTGTTTTAGTGTGTCTCCTCTCCAATGAAAAACTCATTAAATATATGTGAGACTCCAATCCAGACAGCAACTGTCCAGCTCAGTTATTGGTGGGGTAATAGATCAGAAAGTTTCACCTCCTCCTTCTCCTCACAGCTGCCCCACACACATGCACACACACACAGAGGCCAGGAAACTCTACCCCTATAGCACCTACCTTGGGTTTGAAGGCGATTAATTTCAGGACCATCTCAACAGTGAAGAGGCCAGTGAAGAGCATGTTGAGAATATTCATGGCTTCCTTGAACATGCAGCTCTGACCGTAGTGCTGAAAAATAGTATCCCGGCACCAGCGTGAGGAACAGATGTATCAATTTGTTTAGTTAATTAGGAATCCACAGGGCCCTCCTGATCTCCCTTTGTGTTGAGGCTCTCTAAAGAAACCCACAACATGTTCCATCTTTTTAATGTAGAATTCCCATCTCCCTTTCCACATACACATTTCCGTATCTCTAGCCATTTTTGCTATCTGCCTCTGGATCTCCTATCTTTATACAAAAATCTTTTCGAGTGGTGGCTACCAAAATCACACTCATAACTCCAGTTGAGGTCTCACTATAAATTTGCATAATGGTACAAGACAGTTTCCAATTGTGTTTGTTATCTCACCACTCCCTAACATGGACCGCTTTCTTGTTTGATTGCTACTGCACAGTAAACAGGGGTTTCACTGAGCTGTTCATAATGATACCAAGCCATTCCCCAAGTAATTACACTTAATTCAAGATTCTGCAAAGCACACGAGCAGTTCAAATCATATCTTTCCAATATGCATTATCTTGCATTTGTCAACTCTGAATTAAATTTGCAATCATGCTGCCCATTCCCTTAACTTTATTAAGGTCTTATGAAGTTACTCTCCATCTGCTATTGATTAATTCAAGTAGTGTCTTCAGCAAATGTTGCCACCTCACTCTTCATTTCCCTATTTCCAGATCATTATACTTGTGACTGATTGCACTGCCTTATTCTAAGGTCATCTTCCAGTCCATCTCATAAGGCTCTACTGGTAATTGCTTAACTTTGAAAAACTTTATTGCTTAACTTTTATAAACAGCTGGGATGAACTTTCATATTCTACATTGGCTCAGGGTGATTTATTTACAGGACTTTCAGTTAAAATAATTCATCTGCAGCTGAAAGCAGTCCAGGGAAAAATATATCATTGAGATGTTTTTAAAGTTTTTTGTTACATTCTCCTTGAAACACTTTAGTACTTGCTGGACTTTACTTAGAAACTTGGAATTTCACTGTAATGTGGCTTTTGTGTTTGCTGTCTGTTACAAAGTTTGACCCAAATCTGGCCACAGTATAAGCCTTTGGAAAAATGTACTTTTCTCAAGATGGCTATAGATGTCCTAGAATCTCCAGAGATGCTGGCCTTCCTCAGCACTTCACAAACATCTCACAGCTTCTAGCTCCACCTGCCCTGTTTGTGCACCATTGTCACAGCAACTGAGCATGCTTCAGAGTAAACATTACAGTCTCTCCCTATTGCTTCATGACAGCAGGGCAGTAGATAGTTTATCTGAGAGAAGAGCACTTTCTTGTGCTTATGCTGCCTCACTCCTTTTTTGGTACCTTAGGCAAGACAGCAGAGGAAGCCTTTTCACTGGGGTCGGGAAAGAACTAGACCAGATGAAGAAAAAGTAGGGAGGTCAAGAAATCTGGTGAGACTGGACTGGAGACAGTAAGAGAAAATAAGGTGAAAATTGACTATGAATGTAGATTTAGACAGTGAGTGATAGGAAACTGACGCTAGTTTTGAGAGGAGGCTGGGAGTGAGGCAGACTGGGATTGATCCAGTGGAAAATGTAGTAGTGGGATGCTAAGATCAAAAGGGAAGTTGGTGTGGGAGTGCATGGAGAGGTACAAACTAGAGAAGGGAACAAAGTGTAACAGACAACCAAATGGAAAGATGATCTTTAAGGTCCCTTCCAATCCAAGTCATACTATAAATCTATGACAGGGGAGAGAGAGACTGAAAAGGAGATCCATGGACGGGTAACTACAACTGAGTCTATATAGTGAGGAGAAGAGGATGACTGCTTGAGGAGTCCGGATCTGGACTATCTGGGCCACACACCAGGGAAGAGAGTTCATAGACTGATAGGGTGAGGAGAAAGTATGGGGTTTAGGGAGGAAAGTGACAGGCAGACTAGCTCTCAAGCAAAGTGTAGAAGAGAAGGGAGCTCAAATGTCCAAGGAAACTGGGAGCACAGTGATAGGCTTAGCAGGTGAAGCCTGGGACTGACTAGAAATGAAAGGGAGGTGAGAAATGCCTTGTGCAGAGACAGACTGGAAGGAACAAGCCAGGTAAGTACAGACTTGGAAAAATGTGCAAACATTCCACCTGCACATGGTAATCCATTACCTCTATTTGCTATTCTTGTAAATGTTTCTTTCGTGGATTCACATTAGATCTTTGGAAAACCTTTGCGCAGTAAGGAAAATGAATGCACAGCACAGTGGACAGTAAGGCAATCAGCAGCAACAGTAGTGAAGCAAGTTAGGCAAACACCTACCAAAAAATGCTTAGGTGCAGCTGATACTGCCTTAAGGTGATGGGATGGACTATAGGGCCTCTAGAGGTTCTTTCTAGATAGTTTTTATGGTTCTTAACAGAGACTAAAGGAAATACTGGGGTCTTCCTGCCCTCTAGCCCCAGTTTCCTTGATTGTTTTGTTTGCCAAAATATTTGCTTTTTAATGCAGAAAAGACCCAGATTTAAAATTCAGCTCTCAGGTGAGTGGCAATTCCAGGCTTGTTGCTGCATTTTATAGAAGACAAGTCAGAATTGAGAAGTTGCTTGTTATTATAGTGGCCATTGGTGTATAATGTAACTGTTAGGTTCTTTTTCTCATTTGTTTTTAAGGAGTTAAAACAGAATTGTTTGAAGAGTCAGATATTAGCAGGAAGAGGATGAGAGGCAGATTCCTCATTTTAACTAAGTGTCATCAGGAATGAACATGGTACAAAGTTTTTTATCATGTCCCTGTCCCTTTCCCTCAATACATTGGATAAAGGTGAAAGTGGGTCTCAACCATGGCCATTTCAACATTTTCCCTGACAAAGTCTTATAATTAATTACCTGTAGGGTTTTATGACTGCTTACTTACTTGCATGGCCAGGCAGATGGTGTTCAGCAGGATCAGAACGAACATCAGGTATTCAAAATAGGTGGAGTTGACCACATACCAAACTTTGTACTGGTACTGGTTTTTAGGGATGTATCTCCGCAGGGGCCGGGCTTTCAGGGCATATTCTACACACTGGCGCTGTGAAAGAGGCAGGGTAGGTTTAAAAATAAAAAAAACAACACAGGGTTGGTCAACTACCTCCAAGCATAATAAAAATACAATATGTTTTAAGTGTCTTACTGAAATGAAAATGCTTGGCATAAGCATTTCTTTCAGGTTGCAATCCAAATGTGCATATTCTACCCATTGAACAGTTACATATGCATTTACTTTGGCCAGACAATGTCAATTAGTCATGCTCATCTAATGTCAGTGAACCAAACAGTACAGCACATATAGTTAAGTAAATGTTATCCCTTGAGCAAATCTTACAGCAAGGCTTTTTCTTTTATCTCACTCCTGAAAGATGACAGTGAAGCCAGCTTATAGTTTTATCTTGTTGGCAGTCTTCACATGTTCCTCTCTGTATGTATTTATCTCTTAGATGCTTATTCTCAGTGTATTTTCTATCTTTGGTGGCGATAAATTGTTGTAAATTACCTGGTTTTTGTCCAGCTCACAGTTCTTGTACTCTTGTTCTCCTTGTTCCTGAAATGTGACGATGACGAAACCAACGAAGATGTTCATCATGAAGAAAGCAATGATGATGATGTAGATAATAAAGAAGATGGAGATCTCAACCCTGTGATTATAGATGGGTCCCACATCCTCCATGTGGGAATCAATGGACCTATACAGCAACCTGAAAGCAAACAGGAGCCCAATGCAGAGAAAATCTGCAACTGCCTTGAGGCCTTATAGGTGATATTACAAAGTTTAACTTCGTGACTTTCCTCTACTTGCATCAAAATTAATTCACTCACAGCTGTGCAGAGTGTAAACTCTTGCAAAAGAGAAGACATGGCTTTTGCTAACTTTACACATTTGAACCTGTTCAGGGGTGAAATCTTTTTGTAGCTGAATAATTACAATTTAAAACAGAAGCATGCCCTTAAGTTAACAGAAGACAGGAAAGTCTGTGTTGTTGGCAGCTCAGTTTTGTGAGAAAAGGAGATCACAGCACTTTCAACATTTGTTAACATCACTGTTGGCATCACCCTGTGACACAGGTCAGGGTCAGCCCACCTGGTACCCTGAATGCCCATGTCACTCTCACAGAGTGAAGCTGTGGGAGTCCTTCACCTGTGGCACAGCCAGCACATGCTGGCAAGACATCCCACCTCTGCCCATATCGCAGAGATAGCACTGCTGTGTTTCATATGGCCCTGCTGGCTCTATCAGGAAACTTGTAACACCTAGCAATACTGGTAAGTGCCTGACAGGCATTTTATATCCATTTATATACATAATGATTGTAACAAAGATTGCTATCACTGTTACTACTAGCAATCATTTTTTTAAGAGCTACAGACAGTGCTGTGCACTCTTTACAAGTACAGAAACAGCAATTCCTTTGGGCCCTGAGGAATTTAGAAAGTACATAATACTACAATGACTGCTGCTACTACTGCTATGTTTAATGCTTTAGATTTATTTAAATACTTAAAATGGGAAAGACTATGCTCTGCATTTGAATTTCTCTTTTGAAATGAATGAGGATATTGCTACTGTTGCACTGGTCCAAGAAGCACTCACTCTGGCCAGCCCTCAAAGGTTGAGACAGTGAAGAGGGCCATCATGGCAGTCAAGACGTTGTCAAAGTCGAACTTGCTGTTCTCCCAGCTCCGGGGTTGTATCATTGGCTGGTTGACCTCACCATCCTTGTATGTAATGTAGTACCCTCTGTGGATGGAGAACAGACAGAGAACATTGCAGAACTACACTTCCAGCACAAGGCCCTGAGAGTGGGTGACCAGTGAAGGGGGCTAACTGGGAAAGGTCAGACTCACCTGCATTCTGCTTCTGTCTGCTTGGAGCTATCAGTGCAGCTGTACAGCTTGCCCTTGAATAGGAAGAAAGAGGAATGAAGCTTATTTTCTTGACAGCACAAGGGTTAGGGCAGATGATGTAGCAAAGAGACTGTGTTTTCTACTCGCTAAACCAACTATGAGTATGTTTACATGCTCTTTTGCAGGTAGATGTGAGCAAACTGGATTGGGAGTTGCCTGCATCTATGTAGTTCAGAGCACAGGCTTTCATCTGCTTGCACAGTACTTTTATGCGTATGTCCTAAGGTGTATGACTACTGAGTACTGCAGAACACTTGTTGACAGAAGGGTGGTGAAGGGCAAAGAAATAAAAGCAGATGTAAGGAAATGAATGAATAACCTCCTGTGATTATCTGGCATGCCTCTCTCCATGAGATGGGAGGTAGACAGCCTGCAAGTACCCCTTTCACCTCCCTGGCACTAAGTCATGCCACAAGCTATTTAGGGAAGAAGGTTACTGATGTTACTGATGATTTCTTATCATTACAGATGAAGGGCAGGAGTTCTGAATATGCCTGGTCCAGTTTTGGGGAACTGCTGGTAGCAGGAGCCCAAGTAACACTGACACTGTCACAAATGTTTTGCTTTTCACACACACGACTCCATCTCCCCTTCCCAGGCTTCTTGGTGGTAGTTTTCTTCCCATCACATAATACAGCTCAGCATAATGAATGAATGAATGGGCCCAATGGTGTTACCTTAAACAGCTGAACTCCAATGCAGGCAAACATGAACTGCAGCAAAGTGGTGACAATCACAATGTTTCCGATGGTTCGGATGGCGACAAACACACACTGGACCACATGCTGCAAATGGAAGATAGGGACAAAAGTAACTTGCAGGATTGTTCTGGCACCTCTGGCTAACGGGGAATCCCAAGACTAAATATACAATTAAGAGATTTACAACTAACAATTGCCCATTAAGTAATGTCTCATGAAAGAGGAGAGAATACCAACTTGTTACATTCCTCACTGTACTCTTAGGAAGTGGCAGAGAGGGACAGAAAAATACCAGAGCTCAGCTCTCTGAAACTTTCAGCAGCACTGACTCGGACAGTTGGGCAACCACCAACCCACAGGAAGGAATTTATCTAATACAGTAAGGCTATGTTAAAATAGACTTGTGAGTGCATCTGTAATCCAAGTAAACTACATCATTTAAGCTCAGCGGTGATGGGTGGGACACCCAGCTGGAAAGCAGCTTGGCAGAAAAAGACTAGCTTCCTGGTGGATACCAAGTTGAACATAAGCGCCAGCTGCAAAGACGAGTGGTATCCTGGGCTGTAACAGGCAGAACACTTTGAGCAGACTGAAGGAGGTGATCCTTCCCATCTGCTCTGGAGTGCTGAGGCCACCACATCTGGAGTACTGTGCCCAGTTAGCCTCCTCAGTACAAGAGAGATGTGAATGTACTGGAGGGAGTCCAGCAAATGGTCACAAAGATGATTAAGGGACTGGAGCATCTCTTCCATGAGGTAAGGCTGAGAGAGCTGGGACCATTCAGCCTGGAGAAGAGAAAGCTCAGAGAGAGTCTTGTCAATGTACATAAGTACCTGAAGGGAGGGTACAGAAAAAGCAGAGCCAGGCAATTTTCAGTGGTGCCCACTGATGGAACAAGAGGCAATGGGCACAAACCGAAACACAGGAAATACAGGAAATTCAACTGAAGCACTTTTTTATTGTGAAATGACTGAGCATTGGAACAGGTCACTCAGAGAGTCATGGAGTCTCCCTCCCTGGGGTATTCAAAAGCTATCTGGGCATGGTCCCAGGCAACCCACTCTTGGTGGCCCGCTTGAGAAGGGTTGTTGGACAAGACAACCTCCGGAGGTCCCTCCAAACATCAACCATTCTGTGATTCTGCTGAAACACTACCTGAACCACTGCAAAAGTCCTTGTAGCTTGAAATAACTTGAATTTATAGTTTAGAGAATACATTGGGACTTTTCTAACCTTTAGTCCTTTGGCTCTGTTAATGGCCCTCAGTGGTCTAAGGACTCGCAGAACACGCAGGATCTTCACCACATTGATAGCACTGGACCTGGAAGCAAGTATTGGAAGGTTTGAGAGATACAGCAATATAGGGGGTGTGCTGCAAAGACAGATGGATTTTACCTACTCTTTCTTGTTTGAAATCCTACATAGCCTTAGACTGCTCAGGATAGTTAGAGTGCCAACTCTTTGCTATGGCACTTCACGGCTAATGAAACTACTCTCTGGTGTTATCTTCATAGATCTTGCTTCCTGATCTAGGCAGGCTCAGTATACATACTCCTGGCTTTCACCATCTTTGCTGTTTAATGAAGGGAACTGAACATAGGCAGTGTATATTGTTTTTTTTTTAAAGCAGGGCAAGCTGCCAAACACTCTGTAGATATCTATGATACAGAAATTGAGCCAAGATGTAGTCATACAAGATATTTTCAGATAAGGTTCAAAGAAGAACTCCACTGAAATATCCGTAGAAGAGTGGAAACTCCAGGTGAATCCAGCACTAAAGGTATACCATCCACCTGGAGTTTGATCCTGCAATGTGTTTGACCTCTGATCCCGCAAATCAATTGATTGTGTACATAAATTTAAAGATGTGGAACTCCCACTGAATCAGCTAGGATAACTTATGTACTTACATTTAAGTACTGAACATAATTATCTCCTACAACAGTACTCTCCGCATCTTCCCAGACTGAAATCCTGACTGAGAAGCTTTTCCATGCTGTATGACATCAGGCCCTCCTTACTGATTTTGGGAACAGTTTCTTTTACTAACATACTAAGAATCTAGTTAGGTTTGTAAGAAAGAAACAGCAGGTCAAAATGAGCACTGTGCCATTCTTAAAACCTTGACTGAAAGCCTAACAGACCTGATAAATCCTTCTGTTTGACTATTTGACTTAGTTCTGGAACATAACATATGTCAGCTGCTAACCTGTAATGATGACAACTGGGAGCTCATTTCTTATCAGGTGGGATACTACTTAGAAAACGCCCTAACCAACACATGAAGTTCCATATAGTCAAGTAAATCTATAAACTTATTAAGCAAATTAACCCATCAACCAACACAGCATGATGCAACAGAAGCAGGATCAACAGTCACTGCCACCAGTACTCTGCAGATTTTCACACAGCTTTTCAAACTCTTGATGGTTTTTGATTGACCAAGACCCACAACATCTTAGGAAGTAGCAAAACACTATCAGCCCATTTTCCAAAGAGGTTATGAGAACTCTAGGAGGGAACAGTAAGTCACTCAACTGTCCTGAACTGATACAGTGAATCAAGACATCTTGGAACAAAGCTAAGAAACATTATTCCCCATGGACCATTTCTAGTTGTCATTTGCTCTTTCTGGAAGTTACCCCCTCCATGTCATTAGAGTAGAATTTCCCAATTATTACCTCCCCTCTTGAGGATGAATTTTAATGGTCTTGAATCATCTGAGGGAAATACCTCCAGACTTATGAGAAAAAAGTCTTACCCAGGTAAGACAATGATCCTCAGATGTTACTTCCCAACCTAGCCCTGCAATCCCCAAACAACAGCCAGTTGAAAATAGCTCACTTACTGGATCCCAAAGGAGATGAGAGAAACGCTGACCACCAGCAGGTCTAAGATGTTGAAATAGTTTCTGCAGAAGGAGCCTTTATGGAGGAAAGCCCCATATGCGGTCATCTGCAGGAAGGCACATGAAGACACAGACATACTTTGCCATTAGCAACTGTTCAGAAACCAAACACATCTGGTTGTGCTCAGAGTATATAACTGGGGAGGGGCAGAATTTCTAACATAGCAGACAATTTAGCCCCAGACCTCAAAGGAGAAGCTGAGTCCCCATTGAAAGAAGAGAGTGAAAAAGACATTAAGACAACTATAAAAGACCTAACTAGGGAAAACAAATACTAGGTTCAGTGAGGAAAATACGCACTGTGAGTGCATAGAATACATAATGTTTAGAATCAGCAAAACAGCAGAATGACTGTTTGCAAAAACTACTCTTTGCAATCACATGCTTTTTCCTTTTTCTTCAATGGCAGAGGACACTTGTGGGTATGATGCTTGTATTATATAAAGGCCTCTTGAGCTAAATTGAATAAAAAAAAAAAGGGCTCTTTTGTAATGTTTTTCAGTGCTCAGACCAGCTGCAGTGGACAGCTGAGTTCCCTTCCCTCTGTGAAGAAAAAACAGAATCTCTCAGGAATTCTATGTTTTGGAGCTGAACTAACAGGAGGAATTTCAGCTCTCTTCAGTTTGCTGCTTCTGTTCAGCTCAATCTTGTATTCCTTTTCCTATCCCTATTCAGGTTTTCCCACTTTTATTCTGGAAGCAGTTGCACTTTCCCCTTGGTTTTCCTCACAAAGCCTAAGGTAAGATTCTTTGAGACAGTGGTTTCTTAGGGGAGGTAATCATGAACATCACCCAGCAGAGGAGGGAAAAGATCTTACATGTTTTACAAGGACACTCTGCCCCATCTGGGTATGAAGGGGTATTTAATACCTCCTGGCTTTAAGGAGGATGTCACAGCTCCAGAACTGGTTTAAGTGGCTGTGTAAACAATAAACAGAAACGGGTCTCACCCGCAATGTCAGACCTAAACACCTCTGAGGTCAGAATTGAATTTCAGACTGAGTTCAGCTACAGAATGTGACTAAATGAGTCTGGCATGGTTAAAGAGGGTGAGCTGATGGGGGTATTTGTACCACCTACCTTAGACTCAGTGAGCAACCTAAGGAGCTGCTTTGAAGAAACCCCATCCCCACAACAGCTAATGTCCCTCCATTACCTGGGTTAGGAACATCGGCTGCTAAATTTGGTCCTCTGAATCCCATCTAAGTTAGATGTCTAAAGTAACTTGAAGCAGACACCTTGAGACTGTTCCTCAATGATGAGCTCTAGCCAGACTCCCAGCAGAGAAGAATGAATGAAAAATCGAGTTTTCTGGCTCCTGCTAATGGCTCAGGATGGCATACATGCTAGTGGTTTCCAGCCATACCTGCCTGGAACAGCTTTATTCAGAGGAGGGGTGGAAGGGAACATGGTATATCACATTTTTTTCACCAAACTGCCTATCAATCAGACAGAACTTAGAAGGGGAGGAAGTATAAACTCTGGTCTTGGCTTAGAATTTATACTTATAGACACATTCAATTGGGGAAGAGAGGAGGGGGTCTTGCCATAACAAAGGTGGTAAAGATGCCTGGATAGATTTTGTATGGCAATCTTGAAAGAAAGGAGACACCATTGAAATCAGGAGGAGAAGCCCTGCTGAGTTTAAGTTCTATGCAAACTGTGGTTCTCTCAAGCCTGTGAGAGATGCTGTTATCTCAGAAGAGACTCTCAAAGAGCCTATAATCTGTGTCTGCTCCCATCTATGGCACTGAACTAGGTTTCAGGATGACAATTAAAAAAACTTCGGTGGTCACCTTGCTAACATTCACCAGACTCCACCACAGCAGTGTGAAGCTTGCAGGTGTCATCAGCAACATGAGGTCAGAGGAAGCTTGTTTCTCTACAGCCTTGATTCTTTTGGTTTTTTTTCACTATTTAGGCTAACTTTTCTGTTGTGGAAAGCACTGTGCTCAATTCAAAGCAGCAGAGAAACATGCATGGAAAAACCAATGCAACTTGTGAAGCAGGAACTGACAGCACAAGAACAGAATTTCTTAAACAATTGTAGTCCTTGCCCTTTTCTCCAATTTGAACTGAGAATATCCTGGAGTGGTGACATGAACCCACTGAAATTAATGGGAGGACACAAGAAGGGCCCCTCTGATGCACTCTCCTGATAAAAACAGAGCGATACCAGTGGGTTTGCTTAGGTTCTGCTTCCACTGAACTAATTAGGAGTGTTATTATTTGCTCCAGTGGAAGCAGAATTAGTAATTCTAAGTTCAAACAGGTGTCTTGAGCTATGGCTTTAAGTGTTTCTGTTGAGATGTTTTTCTTTTTTGACAGGCCTTTTTGATCAGCCATTTGGTATGTGCTTTTTCAGATTTATTGTGTAGGCAGAGTGCACACTGCACAGAGGCATAACATGCACATCTCTTTGGAGAACATTATGGCTTTGGTGATTTTAAGTCATATCAAAAAAGCACGTTTCTCTACAAAAATGTTCAGGGGCCACCCTGCTTGCCAGCCTTCAGTATGGATACTGTTATTAGGGTCTTGAACTTGAGCAACGCTAAGGTACTGCCTGCCAGCAATTAGAACTAGCTTGCTGAGGCAAAAACCAAGCTGCCAAATGAACCTAGCATTTAGAAAGCCAGAACTCTGCTCAATTACTGTTATTTAAATTATTAGCCTACCAATTTGGGAAAATTAGTGTTAAGAACAAGGCAGCCTATTTTTATTTTCTTCCAGGCTAAACTACTATTCTGCACATTTTCCTTGGTATAGAATATGCTCCTGGGAATCAGGAAGGCAGGTTTCAAACAGGCAATGCAGCAGTTTTTCATTTGCAGCTACAGTCCTTGGTGTTTCAATGACTTGTACTTTTGATTACCTCTTCACATCTAAAAAGTGAGCTACCACGCTGAGCTCCCTGCCTCCTAAGTAGGAGACAGTCAAGTGACTGCTCACCCTGTAACCTTACAGGGTTATCGATCACCCACTTATATAGGCCACTCTCTGGCCCAGCCTCAGGAGTTGTGCAGAATGAGTTGTAGCATGTGTAGGAGGTGTGTGCTCTCAGGGTTCCTTGCACAGGGAACAAATACGGTTTTCAGAATACTGGCCAGAGTAGAGAGTCATTTATGGGGTGATGGCTGCCTTCTTGGCATCCTCTTACTTTTCCCAACAGGATCATCCTTTCATTGTGATTCCCATAAAAAGCTTTGTATTATTTCTTTTTTTTTTTTTTAATAGGCCCTGAATGATGTTTGAATATCAAAATTTCACAGAAGACTTTTTAAGCAACTACCAAAGCATTAAAATCAAAAGATAAATAACCCTTTGTGTAGAGATAATAATGGGGTTTAAAAAAAAAAAACCAAACAAACAGAAAAAGAGAGTGAAACTAAGAAAGAAAGAAAGAGAGAGAGAAAAAAAGAGAGAAAGAGAGAAAGAGGAAAACAAGTGTATTGCTCAGATTGGTTACCTTAAGAATAATTTCTAATGTAAAGATACTAGTGAAGACATAGTCTGCATTGCCTAGGATCTGAAAAATAAGCACAATTGGGTTAGTGGTACTGAGCGTGACCCAGGAACAAACAGGCGTGTGCGTTAGCAACAGACAGTGTCAGAAAACTAGTAAGCTTGTGAACAAGTAATGGTAGAGAAGATGGGCACTTTACCTTCAGAGCAATTTCAATGGTGAAAATGACAGTAAAAACTATATCAAAATAAAAGAGAATCTGTAAAAACAAAAGGGAATAGGATTGGGGAGGGCAGATCAGTGACTGATCACTTGCATGGGAAATCACAGTTCAAAATCAAATACATAAGCCTTTTAACAAGGGGACAAGGATTATATAGGAAACGGTTTTGTAACGAAGTCCTGTTGAATGCAGTGAAGGTCCTGGCACAGAGGACAAGCAGCACATTTCATGAAATCTTTTCTGAGTTACAATCCCATGAGGACTCTAGAGGCAAAATAAGTTTTTGGTTGCTGTTGTAGGATTTTTTCTTTTTTTAATCTGATAGAGAACAGACGATTCCAGGATTTTCCCAAATACATATCCAAACTGAGAATACAAGGAGCCCGGTCTCCCAGTGGAAAACATGACATTCTTTCTTATTAATTTCCATTCTCGTTCTGTACTTCTCGCAAAGGAAGAAAAGCAAACCTCAGATTCATGCTCTTGCTATTTTTTTTTTTTTGTCTATCCTGATTTGCCCTGGATTAGGCTCAAAAACAGAGACTGCCAATTGAACAGAATCCCAGCTCTTGTATTGCAACCATAATATCGTCATGTGCTAAAGGTGCCTAACTTAGATCTTGCATCTTTCCATAGGCATCCTGGATAACAGGCAAGCTGAAAGGCACTCATCATTCCCATGAACTTAGACCTGGTGATGGGGGTCCTGGTGGCATGCATAGCAGACCACAGAAAGTGGTCCTAGAGTGTCACAACAGGCAACAGCAAGTCTGGAAGTGTAAAGTGATTTTCAAAGTATCAGGAATATCTTTTGCTGCTGATCAATGGACATTCCACAAAATGAAAAGCGGGAACTTCCTCGTTGACTAATGGGACCAGAATTGAACTATTTTTGTTTCCAATGTATTCCAATATCCCAAGCCATTTTAGTGTTATCTATGAGTGGTGAAAATCAAAAGTATCATGCCCTAGGATTGCTGTTATTTTACTGTTGTTTGCCCATGAGCAGGCCAATGTATGGAAGTTGTAGAAAACTGATCATTTGTCAGATTTAAACCTTTACTGCTAAAATACTAATAAACATACAGCAGTAAAGCTCCCTCTCCCATCCCACAGCTGGTTTTTTGTATTTCAGCGCATGTACCGTAACTCAGATTTATAAATGGATAAATTCCACAGCTTGGAATGCCACAGGCAGTAGGGTAGCTACTGCAAATTACAGGGTTATTTTAGATGGCACTATTTAAACATGATCGGAATCTGAACTAGTTTGCAGACACTAAACGTCAAGTGGGGGGGATGTATCACTTACTGCTACTGTGTAACTTAACATTTTTCAGGTCACCGCTCAGTCTTTGACCCCAAGTTGTTCTCACTTCTTCAAGGCTGTCTTGTGCTCCATCAATTTTTGCAACTTAGAGAATTAAAAAAAGAGCCATTTCAAGGATGGACAGATCTCAATTTCATCCTATATTAATTTACACATATTATGGCTGGAAATGCCCCCTTGCATGTAGGCCCTGACATTTGGTTATTATATGAGAGGAATAATTTTATAATCAATGGGCCAAATTCATGGGTACTCTCAGGCTGCTTTGCATGACTCCACCAATGTAAAGCAGTCATAAACTTGATTAAAGTGGATAATCAAACTGTACCTGCAGCTGCTTGACATCACTAGAGCATTGCAAAGCAGCTACAGCATACCAGTGAAAGTGGCCCCAAAGCTGCAGCTAGTAAAGATGTCCTTTATAGAGGAGATCATAGAATCACAGAATAGTTAGGGTTGGAAAGGACCTTAAGATCATCTAGTTCCAACCCCCCTGCCATGGGCAGGGACACCTTACGCTAAATCATATCACCTAAGGCCTCATCCTACCTGGTCTTGAACACTGCCAGGGATGGAGCATTCACAACCTCCCTGGGCAACCCATTCCAGTGCCTCACCATCCTAACAGGAAAGAATTTCCTTCTTATATCCAACCTAAACTTCCCCTGTTTAAGTTTTAACCCATTACCCCTTGTCCTGTCACTGCAGTCCCTAATGAAGAGTCCCTCTCCAGCATCCCTATAGGCCCCCTTCAGATACTGGAAGGCTGCTATGAGGTCTCCACGCAGCCTTCTCTTCTCCAGGCTCAACAGCCCCAACTTCCTCAGCCTGTCCTAATGAGAAAGATCACTGCTCCACCTGTGCAGGAAGCACACTTATCAGCAGGCATATTTATTATTATCTAAATATGAATTTACTTTAGAATATATTATAATGAACAAGCACCTTGTCAAGGCACAAACAAGAGAATACTGTGAGCACACAGTCTTAGGACCTGTTTGGGCTTTAAAGGCTGTTTGATCAGACTGGGGAGGCACTTCCAAACAGCTGCTGCCTGAGCCCTGTGTGACACAAGAAAGACATAGCCACTAGCCCGCCTAGGACAGAAGCAGTATCCAAGCCTCTTTGCTCGCCATTCCTGGGATATCTGTTCCTGTCTTCCTACCCTAGGACACTTTTTATCAACAGCAGCAGTAGTCTGCACAGTAGTAGCTCTTGGGCACATGCTAATGTCTGGTTATGTTGACCCAGTGTGAAGTTAGAAGCAGTTAGTTTGCTTTCAGCTTGCTTTCGTTCCCTCTCAGGCCTCTGTGTGGCCACAGGGCAAGACATTCTTACTGTTCTACTGTCAAAGTGTAAAGGCAGACCACATTTGCAACCCAAACATCTTGTCAGTGTCCCCTTGTATGATACATTTTAAACATCTGTACCTGCAAAAATTAAACACAAGTTTTCATGCAACATCAGCGGCTTCAAATACACAAGACAACACTTTGCCCCAAACCTTCAGCTCTTCTATCCAGGACAATCAGCTTTGACTACTTTTTTTCCTCATTTAAATCTCTCTGCTGCAACTTCTGTGGTATGTCAGAAGCCCATATGCCAGCTGACATCATGCTGCAGTGCTAATACATACTGACATACATTTATCCCTACACTGTGGGCACACTTAACTGCACAAACGGGTCATCGGTGATACAAATTTGACTGTATTATTTAGCACCTTTTTTTCAGGACAAAATGCAAAGCAGCTCTGAGATAAGCTCAGGAAGAAATCTCCATTAACACCTTCTCTGCATGCACATGTGTCTTTAAATGCGTGCTGAGGCCAGGATATTTCACAGAGGTAGAACACTGACTGTTAAATTAGGGTTTTATTATTAAACAACAAAGAAAATTGTCTCACTCTTTAAGCCTAGCAAGTTCTTCAGGCATAAAGACACCAAAATTCCACTGCAGACAAGCAGAAATTAGAAGTCTCACATATGACTGCTGACTTGCTTGATTTCTGCAGTGATCCCAGATTGGGTTAACTGGCAAAGTTAAGGGAGCACTGAATGTTCCAAAAGGCTAATAAGAATGGGCAGGAAAGAAGGTGAGAATGTATCTCTGTGTTGAATGCCTTCCTCTCCTTCCACCAGAACATTGAGGAGAGAAGCACAGCATATTTCCTGAGGATTACCTCAAATTTAATGATAGCTTTGCAACTTGTGTTCAAACAGTCTGATTCCAATCTTGATAGCACCATTTTCCTCCAGAGTGACTGTATCAAACTCAAGAGCGTTACTCCTGATTTTCACCAGTGTGAACAAAATCAAAATCAGGCCCTGGACTTTTTAGTTCAATAGAAATCATGTGGCATGTTCCAAAGGGAACATGCAAAACCCCCATGTTATAATTATCCGTATCCCAATCAATGTTTCTACAGCCCATTTCTAATGCCTTAATTCCAGGGAACAATAATTTTGCTTCAGCCTCCTGCCCTTCCTTGTCCTACACATGCTTCTGAAATGAACTAGAGGCCAGATTATGCACTGATTCATGTTCTCTCACACACAGCCTAAGAAAGGATAGGGAGTTACCCCTAAAGCCTCTGATGCAGCTTTTTCTGCATTTCCTTGCTTCAAATCATGATCTGCTTATACCACACTTTTAATAAACAGTGAGGGAAGGAGGATGGGAAGCATACTTGGTTCCTAAAGGAGAGGTGTCGGACGGGGTCCTCAGCGGCCAGGGAGATGCTGCTGAGCAAGATGAAAAATAGGATCAGGTTGGTGAAAATGTTATCGTTAACGATTCGATGGCAGTGGACACGAAACCTGAAAGACAGAGGAGAGGCACAACTTCATCTCTCAGAGAATAGCAAGACATGAGAAATATTCCCCCCTCCTCTTTTGCCAGCAGGACTGGCCCTGGAGGATTGCTCCACAGAGCACCTTCCCTCTGCCCCAGAAGCAGGGAGAATGATGGACCCAGCAGCTGTGAAGGGTGCCGGGCAGCCTTGACTCTCCATGTCATGCAGTGATGCACGCAGAGTGATTGGCTGCCTGTGGGACTCATGCTCAGTGCATTTGAATGAAGAACAGTTCCCTCCTGACAGAGTCCTTTGTGATTTAAATGTGGTCTGAAACTTTCCAACCCCAAATTATATCCTTTGCTTTCATTCACAGAACCATTCCCCATTCATTCTACTGTTCATCGTGGGGCATCTACCTTGGTTACAGGGCATAGACCTGGCCAAATAGATATAAGGCTGCAAAGGGGTTCTGAGAAGACATCATGCCATGCAGGGTGTCTGTTGAACATCAGCCAAATATAGAGTGCTTGGCAGTCTTGGTAGGAAACTAGCAGGTAAAGAAGTAGCAGTCTCCCATCAAACAGCAGCATCCTTACTGGAGACCATTGCAGCACTTTCCGTATATTGGTATGAGGGCAGGAGGAGTTAAACCTCATAACACTCCTATGCATAATTCTAGAGACACTTCATTAATCCATTTAGCTCTACTTTTGGGTGTTAAGCCTCCAAGCCCCTATTAAAGCAATTTCACAGATGATTGCAGAGGTTAATTTACTTCTCTTCAAAAAGCGACAGTGGGTAGGTGGCAAAGCTGACATTAGAGTCCATGAGTCCCAGTCATCATCAGTCCCTCCCTGCTGCACATACTCAAGGAGGAGTGGCACAAACCCCACTGTGGAAAGACTGGATGTAAATTCAGCTGTGCTTTTACAGACCTGCTTTACTTTGGGGCTGTGATTGGAGGCCAAGTGCCCAAGGGATATGTTGGGATACACAGTACTGCACAGACTATGGGACAATGAGTTAATTTCTGCACCCTTGGGAAGATAACATCCCTCTGTGTCATTTCTCAGCCCTTCACTCACAGAACTGGTCTCGCACATCTGCGTTGGATAGACAGTTGGGGAAATGTGAATCCACATTGAGGGAACCCAAGGGAAGCAAGAAAATTATTATTCTCAGTCTCCCCTCAGAGCTATGGACTCTCTTCCTCCTCCCTTTTCTTCCGTGCTCATTCTTGACATGCAGAAATGAGCAGAAATACATGAACTCCCTACTGGGAGTGGATTTTGAGCAGCCATTAGGACAGGAAGCTCCTAACTCATGCTTGACTGATTGCATGATGGCTTGCTTGCAATTTGGACCCGAATATATTGGGGAATTCCATCTACTGACTTGCCTCCAAGACCTTTATTTCTGAAGGTTTTATGATTTGTGTCTTCAATCAGCCTTGCAGGTGCCATGAACTCCCACTGAATATTGTCAGGGGGTTCCCTACAGTTACGCTTTCATGAAGATTTCATGCCAAGGCCTTTAAAACAGAGACCGGTCCAAGGATGTCTCTGGTATGAATTGCTGGAAGGGAGCTCTGTACTGCATAACCTTTGGGGCCTAAGCATGAAAGGGATACCTGCTCTCTGCCTCCTTGTTCCAGCTAAGCAGTCTTTTAAATACCTGTTGTTAGGACTGAAGATGAAAAAAGCACTGGCATCAGGCATGGGCACAGCCTTTTCCTTGAGGTGCAGCTCAGACATCGGGCGAGGCCGAGGGCCAACAGGCATCTCCGGTTCTTCCTCATCTTCCTCTGCTGCAAGAAGCATTTTTGTCTTTTAATACAAAATACAATCACCTTCTGGATTGCTGGGGGATGTGTCTCTGTCATAACTACAGCTAAAAACTAAGAACTGTTGAAATAGGATGATGAAAGCCTGAGGTTCCTTGCCCATCTCCTTTCTCCAAGGCAGCATCCGCTGCCCAATGCTCGCCCTGGCACACATTGCTCTAGACTCTTTGTGAAACCATTAATGCTGGTAAACCCACAATATCCTCACTACAGTCTCTTCAGATTCTTCACTGTCCCTTCTGAAAAAAACAAAAAACTTCAAATGACTGACTTGAACCATTCGCAGTGGTCTAAATCCATTATGTATTTTCTTATTTTCCATGGACACAGATAATAGAGAATTCCCTTCCTTTTGCAGAAGGCTTTTACATACTTGAGGACCATCATTATGCCTCTATAAGGATTTCTGGTTCCCAGAGCAAAACAACAGCAATCTTTCCTGAAGCGCTGTGTTCCTTAGGTCTCTGACCATTCTTGCTACTCTCCTCTGGATTAGCTGAAGGATTCACTTGCAGTTGAGGTTTTGTTGGTGCAGAGGAGAGCTGGATTACTTATTGCAATACTATCTTCCTGTTTATATATCCTTTATGGGCACTTCTTTTCATTATACTTCAGTATTAATTTGCCATCAGTTCCTGATTTGCACAAAGCACAGATTATTTACCACAGAATGGCCACCTAGCCTGGCACTCCCCTTTCTGCGTTTGTGCTGCTGACTATTCCCAAGAGTGGCACTTTGACTTCATCCTTATTGAACTGCACCTTATTTTATTCAGACCATTCCACCAGTTTATCAAGAACTGTTTTTCTCCTCTTTGTAAGGCTCTCCATGGAGCCACTGCCACATCTGGGATGGTGCCTGGATGAGCGCAAGTATGCACGCAGGTATGCGCCCCAGAGCAAACATGGAGCACAGGCACTTTGACTTACAACAATCAGAAATTCTTTAAGTTGTCCCCTTTCATAATGCAGTGTGGGGGAAGACAGAAAAGGTGGAAGCAAGGCTGAGACTCTTGAATCTGATGCCTATGGAGCAGATCTCCAGGCACTGTGCAGATCAGTGAGCACTCTCAAGCAGAGGTGGGGGCTAAGCAGCATGTGGAAGAGAACCTTCCACCTTTGGGCATTTCCTCTACCTGGAGTCAGATGCTGTTTTGTAAATGGCATAATAGGATTTTGCTATTTTAAAGATTCCAGTCCTCTTAATTAGCAAGACAGGAAAAAATTGTTTAAGAGAGGAGCTTGACAGGTTAGATGCAGCCGAATCAGGAGAAACTATAGTTAAAAGGTTAATCTTGAGTCCACAGAGTGAGCTAAATTCCAGGAAGAGCCTGTTCCTCTAGGGTCAGGTACTGTACTTGATCTGGTAATGGACACATGAGAAAGAACAGATGTATCAGCACAGATCTTATCTAGATGTCAGAGACAGGAGAAAAGTGGCCTTTTCAATGCATGCCGTTATTACATGTAAATAGGAATCCTTCTTTACACTTTCAGTAGCAACAGTTCAGCTCAGATTTGCTTGATAGATTTTTGCATAAATGTTTGAACTGGTACTTAAGAGTTTGTACTTTTAAAGCCAGACTATTTTTTTAACAGCTCCATTTTTTGTTGTAACGTAATTCATAATACTCCTTCTCCAGGCCTTAATAGTTAAAGAAACATTATTTCAGAAGTACTTTTGTACTTGTAAAATTGGTGTTAATACTTATATTTATATAATATTAAAATACTTTGCACTTGTACCTTTTATCTACAGGTTTCAGAGTGTGCTGACAGTGAGCAAGGTAGGCAAGTTCTTTTTCTTCTTCAACAGTCTAGAATGATCACGTTGGATATTTGAGACTCAGTTAAAAAGACTAGTGTTCCAAGTCCCTGCTCTGTGCCTTCACTATTAGATCTTCTTTTTCTTTTACTTGAGGAATGCTTAAAAAAACACTTTTAAATGGGTATAGTACAACGCCTAAGGCAAATGGACTCTTAGCAGAAGGAGCAGCCCCATGAAGACCATAAAGAATATTGTTTCTCTTATCTTTTTCTTGTTTCTGCCATAGAGCAAGAAGCATCTTAATGATTCTGGCAACCACATACCTTCAGACTGGAAAATGCATCCAGTTCCTCAGTCATAAATAAAGAATAATGTTTTAAATATTTTTCATTTAAAGTAGGGTCTAGGGCACAGAAGAAAGGAAACACTGAGGCCCAAATACACAAAGAATAACTCTATTACAGTCTCAGCTCAGGTCACTACCCACTTGTTCTTTGACTGTTTTCTATACCTCAAATATATTTCTGTTTAAAAAGTGACCCTTCTAGTCAACCTTGCTGTGAAATCATAAAGAAACATGACTCAGAGCTGCTAAGTTCAGATCTAGGTTTGAACTCTCCTAAAGTTCAAGGAAATTCAAATCTGGGACTGTCATCTTGAATTATGCTTCATTGGAATGGTGATATCCTTTGGTTGTGAAGCCAAAAGCACACACAGGCTACAGGGCAGCACCAGTGAGAATTTCAATGAGGGTTTTTTCTTTTACTGTACAAAGACCAGAACTCTTGTGTAAGGACACTGCTTTCCGTCAAGCTCCCATGCATCACTCCAAGCTATTACCTTCCATCTGACATTTTGAATTCTTTGCCTGTTTCTGTACTAGGCTACAAGACCAGCTCCATGTCTTCCTATAATAAACATATCATCATAATAATCCTTCTAGAGTACACAAATCTCTGGAGTAGCTAGTTCTCTCCTTTCAAAGATATGATGTTCTGCAAGTACACAAAGTACCCTGGGGGCTAAGAGCAACACTGTGTAGCAAACAGAGTCAGAAGAGGTTACTCAGAAAACTGGCTGAGGCAGCAGAAACAAATAGGAGACTGAGTGAGGTAAGTTGAAAGAATAAAGCGAAAACAAGTGAGGTGGCCATTTCAAATTGTTTCTGAACACTGTATCAGGGTGAAGGATGTTTTCAGAGGATGGAATGGTACACAGCCATGGAATGGTCACAGGCATTAACAGCTTAAATCCTAAACAGAAAACAGTAGAACCAGTTGACTGCATCTAAGAAGCAATAGGATGCTTTACTCAAAGCACTGTTGAAATGGATACACATGCAAGCGGGCAAGAAGAGGTGAATTCCCAGACGGGACATATATGGCTGCACAGCATCCACCATCACCAGTACCACAGCTGGACCGATCAGCAATTGGCAGAAGAGTTCTGGACTGGCCGCAAGGGAATTGGACAGGGGTACGTGTGAGAATTGCATGCTAATTCTGGGGAAAGCCCTGCTACACAAGGCAGATGTGACATGCTGCATCAGCCTTGGTGTTTCTGAACTTTTTACAGCAGAATAGAATAGACAACTATGGCAAATCTGATTAACAGCGGTTTTACAAAACTTTGCTGCATCTAAGCCTTATGGTTGACTTCCATGAACTCTGAAAAAAAAGTGGTCAGGTAATTTTGTGAGCTGTTAGAGATCAACTTCACTCCTCACAAAGAACTGATAAACAGTTCAGGGAACAGGCCTGTTTAGACATGGCATCAATCAATAGCAGATAACCAAGATGCTGTCCTTTTGACTTTCTAATAGGAGACAGGAGAAAACCTGACTATCCATTCAAATTTTAGGTTCTGTTCAAAAATATGGTAAGCCAGGGATTGGCAGCCCAAGGCAAGAGTTAAGTGTTTTTACTTAATTTTATGCACTCTAATCCCATGCATGGCCGCAGATAAAATGTCTATGACACAGGCTGTAGATGTAGTTTTTGTCATATAATTCAAATGACATACTATTTCTAAGCTATCCACAGGAGGTAACTAAAACACAATTCTATTATCAGTAGGCTTAAATTTGATATACAGGTAACAGTACCTTCACTTGAAAAAAAATGCAATGTTCTGCAAATCCAAGCCAGGTGAGACACAGAAACAAAACTGTATCAAGCTGTTTTAATTTATGCTTCTGACTAAAGTCTCCCACAAGCCTCTTAACAACTGGGCATGTGTGTCCAGTAACTGCCTGTGCCTATGGAGGTGCTGGGAAGATTAAAGCCAGAGTGATTTGCCTGAGGCAACACTAAAACAGTACTGTATGGCGTTGGAACCACATTCTATTTCTGATAAATGGGTTATAAATATGGAAGAATATAAGTATAGCAAAACCAGGGATTTCTTTATACTGAAAATCAAATGCAATGAACAGTTTTCCTTTTTGCTGTTCCGAAATCCATGCCTATCTATTTAAAATGAGGTATTGCATCTTTTTTACCCTATCACATCAACCTATTATCAGACATTTATTTACTAGGAATCACAGAATAGAGGAGAATGTGTTTTATTACCTATTACAGCCTATTACGTAATGGTAGAAATGTAGAAGAGAGGAGGAGGAAAGGATCACAAAAGGCTCTCTGGTTCATGCCTCTGCTAAGCCAGGATCAACTAATTATTATATCTAAGCTTTTTCTGGCAGATATTTTTCTGACCTGCTTTTAACAACACTCAGTGATGCTGGGCTTCCATAACCACCTCCATGATCTTTTCTAGCCTCACCTTTAAAGAATTCTCCCCTAGAGTGAAATCTTAAATCTGTTACTTCTTCATAATGGAGATAATTCCCCTCTTACCTTTAACAGGCTTTTATGCATTTGAAGATGTTTCTCCTGCCTTTCCTAGCTCAAACAACCACAATTCTTTCAACCTTAGCTCTTGCTTCCTGCTAGTAGTGTTTTCACCATGCTCTCCTAAACTCCTTCCAATTCAGCCCCACTTCTCTTAAGCAGAGCACCCAAACATGAGATACAATATTGCAGCTGAGATCTTATCAATGGTGAACAGGATAAAACATTTGCTTTGCTCTGGTTAGCTTTCATTGGGCAGTTAGAAGAAACCCATAAGTGGACTAAAGGGTCATGTTTCCATTGGTTATAAATCTCACTACTTGCTTGGTTTTTGAAAGTCAGCAAAATGCTTTTGGCACCTGTTGATCCCATGGTAACAGGATTCAGATTCTTTTCTCAAGGACTATTACCTAACTCTAGGTTGTCTGAGATCCTGTATTTGTGAGCTGTTTATTTCTGCCCACGTGTAGAGCCTGGCACTTTCAATTTTATTTAGACCATTTATCCAGTTCCTCAAGAGCTCTCTGAATTCTAAAGCTGTCCCCTAGCACGCTTCATGCCATCTGCAAATGTAATAAACATATTTCCTCTTCCATTATTCACGTCATTAATAACGAACTGATCTTGCGACAAGCCCTTGGCTTGTAGAACCTCACTTGGGCCATCCCTACTCTCCATGTAAAGGGTCTCAGCAATTTCTCGTCAGTCATCTAAATCATGTCTTTCCAGCCAATGTATGAAACAATCGTTTGCCTTAGCAAAGCCAAAGCATTTGACATTGACTTTTTTATTTTTTTCCTGTCTACAAGTCTTGTCAGCCCCTTTTAGAAGAAAATACGGGTGGTTTCATGTGATTTGTTCTTGGCAAATTATGCTGGCTGCTAGTCATCTCCTTATCTTGCAGTCATATAGTTTGTGTAATCATTTGTTCCAGCACTTTTCCAAGAATGGAAGTTGAACTGCCTAGCTTACAATTCTTCTGCTCCAGCCCTACCCCCATTCAGAATCTCTTGAAAAACTGCTCCAAGTTCTGAGATTTCTTCAACCAATCTTTTAAGTATCTGAAGACGAAGTTAATTAGGTCCAACTGACTCAAAAACTAGTCTAATTAATGCTCTAGCTTGAATTTTTCCAATTCTAGGCTGAGATCCTACACCGTTAGAATTATATTAATGTCACACTGTGTTTTTTGATTAGCAAAAGTACAAAAAGGCATTCAGCACTTTTCAGCACTTTGTCTTTTATGAGTATCTGCTGTGAGTCTCCTCTCACCACTGACCACTGAGAAAATAGACTGAAAACAAAGTCATACGTATATACAGAGATTTGTATGTTATTTGATTTGGTTCTCTGTAAAACTCTGTATTTGAAGAACCAAATCAAATATGATTAGTCAGTATAGGAACTACAAAGGACCCGGTCCACACTTGTGCAAACACAGGCAAGCACATCATCCTGTCCCATCATGAAAGCACTACAATTTCAGCTTAACTGTTACCAATTTGGCTTTATGCATTAGCAACTGGAGCTTCTCTTCGTTGAAACAGGGATAAGAGAAAGAAGACACATACCTGTCGCTTCTGTGGTAGGATATGGACTCTTTTCTTCATTTTCATTGGGCTGATAATCATCAACGTTGATCTGACAGAAATGGAAGGAGAAGCAGCAAAGACTTTATCAGACAAGGCAGAAGGTTTTCATTCCATCAGAAACCCAAGCCATTCATGCCATCACTGCACAAAGAGTGCTGGCTGGCCCCAGACCTTACCTTGGTAGCAGGTGGGGATTCTCCATCAGCAGTGATCGATTTCAACTCAATTTTCTCCTCCTTTGTCTCCTCCTCCACAGCTGTTTTCTCTATCTCCTGTTTCTTTTCGGGACTAGCAGTTCTAACAATTTTACAAGATAAAAAGCAAAGAGTTACAAAGGTGAAAAGCTGTTTCACTTTCAGGAACTTTATGTACTACAGCACACACCATGACAACAATCACCTGGCTGACACCTCCCTTCTGAGTCCCGTTTACATACCAGTGGCTCCACCTTGTCCTGATCTGCAGACAAAGGCAGAGACTACTCTAATTCTGTGTAACATCCTTCTATTTTATAGCTTTTTCAATAGCATGTGTCTGTGGGTGGATGCATGCACATGTGGGGAAGTATTTGCCTGTGTGCACACATGTGCATCCTAGGTCTGTCAGTAGAGATCTCTTTATTCACCCAATGACAAAGGCATGAATCAGTTTCAACCCATATTCTTGGGCACTTACACTAGGTCGCCTACAAAGTTTTGCCCTCACTGCACTCTAAAAGACAGGGAAATCTGCTGACTAGCATACAGGATGAACCAAGAAGGTCTGCACGAGAGATCCCCTCCAAGTGGCCTGGAAGACAGTGAATAGAAATAAGCAGTAAGGAGAGTCTTCCCTGCTGTTGGCAGCTGGGAATGTTAGAGAAGCTCTGCATCCAGCTCATGCCTCCTAAGAGTCTGCAGAAACACTAAAAGAACTGGCAAGAGAAGAACAGCATGTGGCATCAAAAAAGAAGGAAGTTGCTGAATCTTGTCATGGGAACAACAGTCTGAAAATACACCTCGTGGTCCAAAGCACTCAGAAGGTAATAGGGAGATTCAAATGGTTTTGTAATATTGACATCATTTCACACCCATTCTCTTCTGGTGCCTTTGAAAGCTCATCAGTCACCCAGACTTTCTTTAATCTGCTCACATCATTGCAAATGTGGAGACTCACAGCTCATGACACCTTCCTGTCCTTTAGTTTAAATTCCTTTACATAAAAATGTATATATACATAATTCCACATATAATTACTTTAATCACAAATATAAAATATATACATACCCACAGAGAAGTTATACATACATGTTCCACATGCACACATACTTACTTGAATATACATATATGTGCATAATGGGTGCAATGTTACTCACAGGAAAGCATGCAGATGAGTGTAGATAGGTGTTTGCAAATGGATTTACCTAGCCAGCTTTTTCCTTTCTTTTTCCTCTTCCTCCTCTTTCTGTGCAGATGTTAAGCTCTCAGCATCAGCAAGGTTGTCCACAGCAATGGCCAAAAATACATTCAGCAGGATATCTGTTTGTGTGCTACTTAAAGAAAACGGGCTTTGAAAACTGCAAAACAACATTATACCAAAGGTTTCTTAATTGAAAGATTTTAGCAACCTGTCATCAGATCTCTTGGATATTCCTAACTCCCATTTCACACAAATGTTCAGGACATGCATATCCAGCACGCACAGATCTACACCTTCCATCCAAATAGCTACCACACTGTGTGGGGTTTCCAAAATTTCACAACAGAATGACTGATATAAAACATGTAAATCCAGACTTATATTTGAGTTTCCAGTTTCCCAGAATAGTCTCGCTTTGTGTAATAAATCCCACAGAAGACAAACGGAGTGCTGAATGCTTTGCATCTTTGACAGCTTAGGTCACTTTTATTAAAGCATTCTTACATTTGTGAATCTCCTACTATAAGACACCTGGGCTTTCCAGTTTTGGTCTATGCACATGAGGTGAATAACCTTATTATAGATATTCCCACAGACACGAGTGGACTTTATGGACCGCAAGCATAGCACTCTCACTAGCATTTCTCAGGCAACTCATTTAGTCTGGTCATGGAAGGGCTGAGCTGACAACTCTGCCACCTCCTAGCAGAGAGTCCGTGCCTATGTAGCTGGAGGGCAAGGACTGTTTTCTCATCTTGCCAGTCAGTGTTCAGATCTCATGTCAGAAATCTGAACATCAGCTTCTTTTATAAATTTCTTGAGAATGGGTCTTACTACACCATGGTAACTTTTAAGAAAACCCCGTTCAAGGCTTAGACTGGAAATACAACCATCCCCCCCTCCCTGGGCTCCAAGGTCTCATGGCCCCTGAGTCAGCCAGCTTGTAGAACTGGCTTGCATTTTTCCTCTGCAGTTCACAAGGAGATCCAAATTGTAGCTTTTTTTAAGCTGCCAGGCAGACTGCCTACCTCGACCTTCAGATAAGTAGAATTGCACCATCTCACTTTGAAGAGAGGGCATGCAGGTCAACTGAAATGTCAAATAAGGGGTTTGAGAGATCTGAATTATGAGGAAAGGCCAGAAGAGCTCGGCTGAGACTACAAGGCTTTACAGGAGAATTGGTACAAAAAGCTTTATAGGAGAATTGGTATAAAAAGAAATGTCACCTCTGACACAGGAGGGCCATTTATTAGGGAAGCAGAACCCAAACATGAGCAAATGTGGAGCAAACTGAGATACAGAGCAGAACCATATCTCTATGTTATATGCAAATTCCTGTGAAAAGACACCGACAGCCTTAACATGCATGTGCTTTGTATCTCCTAGGATATGTACAGTGCCCTCACTTCACCTTGAAGCCTGACAGAACTGAAGTTACTTAACACCAGCACAGGCTAAGATAACAGAGCACATGATTTTCTCTTTGAAGAACACACAGATTGCAGTAACTGCAATGTAACACGGCTCCTGTTAGTTTATACATGAATTAATATATGATCTTTCAGAAGTCAATTATGTCAAGCATATGTTACTCCTATTAAAGCATTTGTATATAGCATATTGTAGATTACACAAATTTCTATTCCACATAAGTCTTGGATGAAAGTGCATGGAATATATTACTGAAAAGGCAATTAAAGCAAAAATATGCAGTAAGTGCAGTGGGTACACACAGAGATTAGTTTCTGGAGAAAGCAGGAAAGAAAACCCTATGAGAGAATTAAGGAGAAGGAAAAAACCACTAAACATATAAAGATACTAAATAAAAGCTAGCATGCAGAACTGGCACATAGCTGGCTCTTACAACTGTTTATATGCCTTAGCACTTGCTAAAATTAAACAAACTTGTTTAACTTTTGGTAGTGCAAAGCCAAAATTCAGACCTAGGGAAAAGGTAAAAATGTAAGGTACGAAATCAACTGTTTTCTGACATAACAAAGTAATAAAAGGTGGGTTCAAATTCAGCCCCACTTGGAGAAGAGAGTAGCATCAAAGGATACAGTTTCCACAGATGAAGAGGATGATGAAGTAAATACAGACCAACATTCCTGGAAAAGAGGGGCCGCCATAAGCCATGATCCCATCATACATCACCGAATTCCAGTCCTCCCCAGTCAGGATCTAAATGACACATTCCCACCAATAAGGGATACAGTGTTAGACCACACAGAGAATTTGAAAACCCCATTAACACAAAGATATCTACTATCCTAGAGAACAAGCCCTCCCCCAGGATGGTTGGAGACTGTCTGCGTCCATCTGGAAATATAAAACATCTCCCAGAACAAGTAGAATGCAAAGAGCACTTGTGCTCAAAGTGTAAAACCCCCCCCAGCCATCCCCTTGAAGATGATGGCTGAAGACCAACAGTTCTCCCAGACAACTCTGCTCAAGCCCCCTCATCTCTCCCATGCATTTCCCTCCCATGTGTTGGTTGTTTCAGACAGGCTGCACAATCTACCACACTGAAGACAGCCCTGAGCACAGCCTTCCCTGCTACTCCCCTTAACCTTGCACATCAAATGATCCTGGTGCTTTTGGCCAATCACTCGCAAAACTGCAGTTGGCTTAAACACCATTTGATTACTTTTCTGTTGCTGTGATTTGTTCCCCAAGACCGTGGAAAGGGGGAGAAAAGCTGCAGGGTTGGCCTTTTGGCATGCAGATCCTGCTCTGGGACAAGGCAATGGCTCTTCTCTTGTCCTATCCTGCCAAGACCTGTTGGCCTTGCTACACACAGGGGCTTTAGCTTTGATTTTCCACTTTGGGAGGGAATACCCCTGTGCTGGCAGCATGGCATGGCACCTGGAGCTGTTAGCTTGATGTCCAGTCTTGGGGACTGTCAGGCTGCAGGGGAAGGGTGAAGGCTCTGTTATCTATCTTGCCCCACATAAACACAATGTGTTGGCTCCGTTGGACCATTCTTGCCCTTACCTGAAACACAGTGAGGAGGGACTGGGGGAAGTTGTCAAAAGTACTCCTCCTGGTCTGCATCTCATCAAAGTTAAACTTGCCCCCAAAGAGCTGCATCCCCAGGAGTGAGAAGATGATAATGAAGAGGAAGAGAAGCAGCAACAGGGAGGCAATAGAACGGACTGAATTCAGGAGTGAAGCCACAAGGTTACTTAGGGAGTTCCAGTATCTGGGAGAGAAAATAGAGGCAGTTAAAATTCCTTTAATCCAAGACAGGTGCTCATGGACTGCACAGGATTTTGGTTCAGGCTGCCTTCTGCATATAAGCAGGCACTTCCAAATATCCTGTTAAGCAGTGAATCATTGATGTGCTTCCCTAAGATAATGAGACCTACTGCAGCTAATGAGTAATTTTACTATCACACGTGTACATACACAATTGCCCCCACTCCATACGTACACCCAGAAGATTACTGCAGCACTCTCCATCTAAGACTCTGCAAATCTTATATCAATATATGGTGATTAGTTCTTGCTGCTTCAGTGAGTTACATTCTAACCAACCTCATTACAACACTCACAGATGTTTGGCAGACAGCATACCTCACTCCAGAGAATGGCCTGTAATAACTAACAAGAGCAGATGGGGAAACAGTTTGGATGCAAATACAAACTTGTCCAAAATCTGGTGTGTGTGCTTGGGCTCACTCACAAATAGAGGTTGCTAAGCTTTCTGGTACTGAGAGAAATGAGAAAGGTATTAAATGTCCTTTCATATAGGCCCTAAAATAGACTCCAGGTCTCTATACATGAAGTCCAGAGTTTCCTTTGCTCTTGGAAGAGCATACATACCATTGCTGGTGTTTTTGGGCATCAAACCATCTATACTTCATTCAAGAGAAAGGGTGGCTAAGACTTGTTCTTCCAGTGTATTCAAGATTGTGCCCAGATAGAGTGATATACGATGCAGAGAAAAGATCTTCTTGCCCTTGTCTTCCCACATCAGAGTTCAAAGAGATGACAGCAGCATGCTCTGCTGCATGCCAGTTTGCTTGCATTCTCTGCCAGCCTGCAGAGTAGCCATGTGTTGCAAAAAAGGCTTTAGACAAAACTGCTGTAGAATTCACATCACTCATGAAGCAGCTTCCACTTTGCTATAGCATCTGCTCAATCAGTCCTAATCTACTGCTTAGCTGGTCACAGCCACTTCTCTTTATACAGTTTTCAGTCTGACAGATCTTTCTGACTGGGCTGAAGGTTAGATGTCAGCTTCTGGTCACCTCATTTTGAATGCACATTACTAGCAAGCTCCAACAGCTTTCACAGGTCAGCAAGGCAGTAATGTCTGCCTCTGATCAGTAAGTCTTCTTTCTAGCACCATGTCTTGTGGCTTACCACCATGCTTTGAGATCCCACCATGGCCAACGTCCTCCACTCCCTTCTCCCAAAGCCTATAACACTGAACCTTTCTTTCCTCATAAGACTGAATTTCTAGCCATATTTTCCTTGGAGCAGAAGTTCCACTTGAGAAGGATGGCAGACCCATCTAGTGCTTTCACTCCTCTGAGGAAGCTGATCCTTCAACATACAATTTTTCTCCGAAGGTAGTGCAGTCATTACAGAGAGTTCTTAAAATCCCAATGAAATCTATATTTTTCAAATGTGAATTTCATATTTTTTTAAATTATGGGATTTTTTTTTAATATTTTTTAAAGTGCAAAAAAGAAGAATTTTCTTGTCCCGTGGAAGACAGGAATGCTTGAGCAGCCCAATCATGTCATGAAGGTTAGCAATCTGATCTGCAGAGGGACACCACCATGTCCTCTGAAGATCAGCAACTGGTCCATCTCCAAGGGCTGAGCTTCAAAGAGAACTGTGATGTTTTCCCTCCAGCCCAGCTTCAGCACTTCAGAGAAAATCAGAATGCTTTAAAGTTTAACTGAAATTAACGAGATGAGCAATGAAAAACTACAGAGCAAAGGTAAGGGCATAGAAACTGTGGGCTCAGTGCCAACAAATATCTGCACTGAATGTGCAATGTAACAGCTCTCTGTGTTTATGCTTACATTCACATACTTTCACACTTTGGGAAGAAGGGAAAGCAGCACAGGAAAAGGGAATTAATTTCTGATGAAAGTCAACTGATTTCAGCATCCTTAAATCAGAAAGCCATGGGTGCCAGAATATCTTTCCACGTCCTCCAAAGCCAGCCAGGACACACATTTTCTAGGTCTTTCTATCAGTGCCCTTAAGAGGCATACAGTAAAGCTGTTACACATCTGAATCGTCTCAGTGACTCACTTTAAACTTAAATGCCTTGCTATCTCAGAGCCCAATTGCAAGACTTCTATCAGCTCTGCATTTCTTACAAATGGCTCAGTACCTGAGTTCAGATTCTTATGTAACTATCAGACTCAAAGGAATTAACTGAGATGACCCGGTGATAAGATTAGTGTTGTTTTATCTGTGTACTGAGTGCTAGTGAGAAATATAGCACCATTAGAAAAGCAAACAAACCAATCAGGAGAAAAAAGAGAAAAAGGAAAAGGAGAAGATAAGGAAGTCTTGACTTAGACTAGGATGTGAAAATAGCAATTGCCTTATCTTACTGTCCTACAAGCCTGACCTAAGGTTACCATCTGTCACATTAGGTGGTTGCAAAACTAACATGAACACCCCCTCAAGTAAAACACAAGGCTTTTAAGTCAGGAGTGGTTGAAGCCCAGACAAAGAAACAGTCTCTCACTACTTTGCCCTCTTTGGTTAGTACACTGCAAGGAAAAACCAGTTACAATAAATCTCATGGCACTGCTGGATAGAATCAGAAGTTTTGAACCAGGTAGCATATAATGGGAAGTACAAAGGAAAGTGTTGTTGCTGCCTCAGACTTATAGGGAAATGAATGTGCCTCTTAACATCTCCCACTTGCAGATCTCAGACCACTGAGGATGCCAGTGAATGAGGCACTGCAAAACCCCAGCGAGTAGGATGTGATTATGAACCCTGTTTAGAAATGGAGGAATGAGGCAGAGAAGTTAAATGGGCTGTTCAACATCTCACACAGAAATCAATTGCAGAACTGGATTAGAAGTTAATGTTCTTTTATTCTCTTCCCTCTCCTCTCCATTGCTTTCCGCTATGTCTTTATGATACTGGCAATCACAGATGCAGAGCTTAAAACAGTAGCAACAGCTGGCAGTCTCATTGTAGGAAACCTGCCCACACTGCTCATCCAATATAAAACCACTTTGAAAGCAGGTACAAAAAAAGGTGCCTTGTCTCTCCTCCCTACATTTAACAGTGACATACCTGTCTGTCACAGTGGCAGAATTAGGTATAAAATACCTAATTTTAAGTATGTTGATTAAGATTTAATTATGCTGTTGCAAATAAATTGATTTATTTTTTAAGTATAAAGGACTAAATATAGGGACTTACAAAGCATTAAAGGACTATTATAAAGAGACAATAACTTATCTTCTCATAGCAATGGGAGATGTTCTGCACAGCCCTGTAAAAATTAGTCAGAATAAAACAAACAGATGATTCTGTTTGCTTGTCTAATGTACAAGACTAAATGATTCTGAAGAGTATTTATAATTTTGGAAGAAACGTTTGCTTTTGACATTCTAAATGTGACATTCTAAAATGACGCATTGTTCCTCTGATAATGTCTTTATTTCTATTATGTTAGGAAGTCGTATTTGTGTTTTTCCTAGAAGTGTATCATCTTGACACACCCAGAATTTGCTTGTGCGTGGTGTTTACCATGGAAAATCCATAAAAAGATAGAAAGATTAAGCTAAGTACTGATATACTCTCACCAGAGTAATCTTCCTGCTTTGTGCCTTTTTACTGGCCGATTGTCACTATTTCCATCTACACTGTACATCCCCATGTCACTGCTTATGCATATGTAGTTGACATAAACTGTTACGCTATTATCCCTCTTACCCTTCCCAGCTTTCTAGGATTGTATCTTTCTATGTTATGACTGCACTTGGGTGGTGTATTCCACCAGTGTTTGTAATGTCAATAAATCCTCATTGTATTTATTAGAGCTGAGTGAATAAGGGAAAAATTTGTATTTTACTGGAGAATATCAGAGGTAAAAGTTTTGCTTATAGCCAGAATATTCACTCCTGCAGCAAGACGTGAGTAAGCCTAAAATACTGCTTTGGAGGCTTGTGCTAGGGCTTTCCACATGAGGGTGAACTGCACCCACAGAGGGGAAAACTCATGAAGAAAATCATGAATAATTAAAAAACACAGATAAATGTGAGACTACTGCAACCTACTTGCCCATATTTTAGGAACAGGAAAGAAGGCAAAATATGATTAATACATTATTCAGTATAAGTTATTCCTCAGCTCTGTGCTTTATGCGTAGACCCATGCACAAACTGCAGGAGATGTATTCCAGGTAACATTTGCTTTCATGTAAAATTGCATTTTAGTTCTGCTGCAGAATGAGTATCACTAGTCCTACTGCTAGCTGGTTCCAGAATTACATCTCTGCCAGAAGCTTTAAGAATATTTAAGTACTCCAATAGCTCAAGCTTCCTGAAGTATTAATGATATTCTCTCAGAGTTTGCCTTTCTATTATAGAATTCTCTTCACTAGACTATATATTTGTGTGGGAGGGGAGAAATGCCTTGAAAAAACAGTGACCTCTTCAGGATGCTATGTTGAAGCTTAAGCTTTTATACCTATTGGTAAGTTGCCCTGGGTGTATCTGATTACCCAATGCCTGAAACAGCTACTGCTTTCCTCAGAAACCAAGCCTGGGACTCAGTGATGATAGCTCTCAGACCCAAAGATCCAGGAAAAACAGTCACCAGACCAGAGATCCCCAGTATTTTTCAAAGGGCAAAGATGCCTTTCTTGCTGGAAACTCTTGTTAGCAGGAATGCTTTTCCCTCTTCTATGATCACAAATCTAAACACACCACCTTTTAGTTATCTTTTTTTTTAATAGCTATAGGCTTGATTTTGCCTCTCTATCTGAGGCTGTAAACTGATTTTCTGTCTCTGCCATCTGACCCTGAAAACCATCCACCCTGCCAGAGAATTGAGGGTCAGAAGCTTTAAGGGTAAATCATGTACAATGCACAGGTCCAAGTCTGTGATTTTTTCTGCCTTTCAGCTCTGCCATCTTGACTGTCTTCCAGTTCTGGTCTTGTTTTTCTCATGAGCTGTGTTTTTTATCTCAAATTTGTCAGAAATTTCCTTTGGGGGAGTTCATAGCAATTCTAGGGACATTTTCATAGCTGAGCTTGCATAAAACACACTCTTTCACCACCCCAGTCAAGCTTTTTATAAGGTGCTGACTGGTGCCACATGGGAAAAGGCAGACACTGTGCAGCTTTGGGTGAGCACTTGAATAGATCTCCCATCTGGGTAAGTTGGGAGCTGAACTGTCCCACAACTTCCCCTTAAGCTGAAAGATGCCTGCCAAACAAGCTGGTGTTTTGGAGATGCCTTACTACAGGAAGCAGCAAATGTTTAACAGACACCACTCTGCCTTTACCCAGACAGAGGAGAAAAAATGAGAAGGAAAAAGAGGGGAGACTGGAACCTAGAAAAGACTGGTTTCTTCATAAAGCTGCTGCTTCATGCTGGACTTTTCTGAAGGAGAAGGGCTGGCGACATCCTTTGCTTATAGCTGCTGGTGTTGACACTTTCTCCCATTCAGGCCACTGTTGAGTCTACTGGAGTTGGCATGGCTCCTCAGTCAAATGCTATTTTGCCTCAAAGCAGCCTTTCAGGCTCCTTTCTGTCACCATAATGAAAAAGAAAAGGTCACAAGGCTATCTGCTATTTTATTTTCACTTTGTCTTTTGCAGGGAACCATAAGACCCCAAGCTCAGCTTGCATTACCGTGACAGGTTTCAGTTTAACAATCTGCATGGTATCAAGTGCCTCCAGCCCTCTACGCCAGACTCCTCACCAATCTGTACCACTCTCATCAGAGATACCCACTTTGTACAGCCCTCCACGGACTTCAGAAGATGGGGACTATCAACCTAACATTTTCACTACCCAATTAATGCTAGAAAAAGTGGAAAACAGGGATGTGAGTGACTTGTACCTATGTATGCTGTGCATTGAGAAGTAACCCTCTTTCACCTCCAAAGAAACACACTAGTACCTTGTGATTTTAAATATTCTTAGGAGTCGAACACATCTCAACACCGAAATGCCCAGTGGTGACATGATCTTCGTCTCAACCAGAATCGTTTCCAGGATTCCTCCACACACAATGAAACAGTCAAAGCGATTGAAAAGGGACACAAAATAGGCCTGGAGACCAAGGCTGTACATCTTCAGCAGCATCTCTGCCGTGAAAAGAGCCAGCAGCACCTTGTTGGCAGTGTCTCATGAAAAACAGAAACAGATTAAGAAAACTTAGTCAAAAGATTATCATAGCTAACCATTGGCTTTTGCCTACAAGAAATGCCTTCTGAGATCAGTCTGAAAGATTAACTTCATGTAAGCTTGGGTCAAAGAATGGACTTCAAAAGCATGGGCATCTCATTCACAGAAATGTTTTACAAAGATGTGTGCAGCAATTCTTATGTATTGCACATACAGGTGTGATGTATTACACAACCACGCAACCTCCAAGGCAGGGACATGCCTTCCTGTGCACAACCTCCCATCACAGTTGTCATCTGCAGATGAGAGTGGGAACAGAAGAGCTGCTGTGCTACCTACTGTTGCTTAATTAAGCCTTTCAGCTGCTCTCACCTCCAGTGAGGATTCAACTGTTCTGCAGACAGAAGAACTTTACAAATTGCTCTTCCTCACCTCCTTTGTAACTAGAATTTATCATAAATGCCATTTCAGGAAAACCCTGGACAACCTGTGGCTCCCAGTAGCTATCCATAAATTGGAAATCCAGTTGCTGTGAATATATATTTAGCATAAGCTCTGGATTTCACCTATACCCAGTGGAACACTGGTTTTGGTGGAAATGAGTAACTAACATTTTCCCTGAAATTTATGCCATTGTGGCACATATTTTGTTGTATTATTTAAGATCGTTCACAGACACTATTAGGAGCCGTGTATGCTCCTTCTACCATTGTGAGGTCTAATGCATCAGCTCCACCCTCAGCCCCTTTTTTGACACTGAGCATGATGAACAGAACCATAATCCTCTCCTCACCTTGGACCTCCGTGAGCCAGTCTGGCTGGTTGTAGTGTTCAGAGGCAATGGTAAGGGTGTTGAGAAACACAAGGAATATCACCAACCAGTAGAAAACATTGGACTTGACAGCAGCACGGCACTTTCTTCTGCAGAATCTATTCCACCGGCGCCAGTAGCGACTTGAAAAATTGGAAAAGGAAAAGTTCTTTTCAGATAGGGATCCTTAGGCTATTGCAAATCTTCTCTGTCAAGAGAGACTCTAGTCTTGATTTGTTGTTCAAGAATGGTAGAGAATAACTTTAAAGTTCACTCTGAGAAATGTCCTTTCATTTTCATCTGAGTCAACAGCTATGATCATCCTTCCTTTAGCCATAGAAATAAAACTAGCCCTAAGACAATTTGCAACATTTAGAGATGAATAAATTTCTTCAAGCAATACCTTAATCTGATTAAGGTATCCATTACAGCTACCCCAAGAGGTTTTTTAGCCCAGTTCCAATAAAAATATTTATTATTCTTGTATTTAATGCTTGCGGCCTGCAAAGGGACCTTGGCCAGGCTCAGGATAGTCAATGAAAAGCTATCCCACTATGTACTACAGACCTTTGGATTAAGTCCTTGGAGAAGTGAGGTCAAATAAAAACCATGGAATGTTTCCGACATTCAGCAATGTTCAGGAGTAAGCCCAATACAGGGGCTAACTCTGAACAGAAACAAAAAAAACACATCAAACAGGCAAAAAGCAACTTAGGGGACCTCAGCATCTCACCTTCATGCCTGTAACTAAGGGTACCATTTGCTAATCAACAGACCTTTTAAAGTTTGCCTTCCATGAACACATCCCCTTGTGTCACTGATTTCTGAGGGTAATTACTAACTACAGAAGATATTTAAAGCTAATTACACACCTCCCACTCTTCAGAATTTAACTTGCATAGCAACCAGTTTCCAGGCAACACTTGCACTGTATAATAAATCTAATAGTTTTATATAGATATTATATACATATGTGTGTGTGCGTGCATGTGTGTGCCTCTAAAGAGACACATACATTACAGGAAGAAAGGTATTTTCTTGGCTAGGTCTTCTCTTATGCATTATTTCCAGTGATGAACTATGTCCATTCTTGAGGTCAGGGTTCAGCATCTATATGAACTAAAGCCAGGTGATGTGAACATTGCACACTGGCCAAGAATTTTGCAACATTTTAACAGGTAATCAAATCCAGGCTGTTACAGCTATGCAATTTATAAAGGCACCCAGTTAAACTAGCACAAAGATTTAATAAGGGTTGCATGTTCTGCAGTGGATTTGGGACAAGAAATCATCTCAATTTTTAAAATGGGCAAGACACTTAGACATTGATGTTGTCATTAAATCATTATTAATCCCCCACACTTCTGTGTCTACTTGTGTAAAATTGTGTGTGCACATGAGCATGTGATGATACAAGTGGTTTTTTTTGTGCTTACACTTACATACAAATAAAACCATGGATTGCAGGAATGTGATTATGTATGCAACTCTGCATGGGGATGCATATAGGCAGCATGTACGCGTCAGGTCCTTCTTGAATTTACATTATTTCTGTAAGCTGAAGGATACAGTTGCTCACTTTTCCCAGATATTCTGAAAATTAATTTAGTTTTTTATAAAGCTGACTATTATGGAGGAGTTATGGAGTTATGGAGGAAGCTGGGCTTCTACTGAAGAGGCAGAAAGGGACTGGGACCCCAACAGCTAAGTTCTATGAGCTCAGTCAGCCTTTCCAATGGAAACCCACAGGAAACCCACCTGGGGATTGCTTCACATTTTCAAAAGCTTTAAATCAACAGAACAATCATCACCAGAAGAACTCCACATGTCCAATGGTGAAACGGAGAATTTCACAATTAAATGCAAATCTCACCAGTTGAAAGATTTACAATCAAGCAAAGCAGAGTAGTGCAAAAAAATGTAGGAAAGAGAACCTTGAGCTGACAGGGCTGATGTTGATGGATGTAGTATAATGATTCAGTTGAACAACTTCTGGTTTTATATGTTATAGCTTGAGATATGTATGTAGCAATCAGATATGAACTGCTGAGTGAAATACTGTCAGTAGTCCCTGTGCCTTATTTCAGTATGAAACTAAGAAAAAAATCTTGATTTTTGGTAGATGACGGACTAAAATCTGACAAGTTTGTCAGTATCTCCTAGAATCAACACTGCGTCCCACAGATGCAGGAGTAAACCACTTCACAAAGCAAGGAACAAAACTGGTGGAAAGGAGGAAAAGCATAAGTCAGTTTTACTTACCTAAACTTTGATTTTGAAATCCGATGCCTGAAAGATAAGAATTGCCATTAAAGTCTCTGAAGCTGTCCCATCTATCAATAGCAACAGAAAAAATAGCAACAGAAAGAAACAAAATTAAGCTCAATTAATTTCTTAACGATTTTTTCCTCTTGAATCCCCTTCAAGTCAATGTAGGCACTGGGAATGGCTAGAATTCCCTGATATACAAATCTTGGGGGTTTTGGAGATAGTCGTGCCATGATGGGATTCTACCACCTACAGACATGAGTGAACTAGCTTTTCTCTTGGGTAAAACGCTGGCCCAGTGCTAGGGGCACTATCCATCTGTTACCCAACTTATTTTTCAAGCATTATTCTTCTTTCTATTAGTCACTAGGGTTTCTTTTCTTTTTTTCTTATATTAAAATACATTTGACTTTATACAGACAGACTTGCTGCTTTCACACATCACCTGTCCCTTCAAGAAATGTAAGTTCATTATGAAACCATGGGGAAAATAATGCCTGCTGTTCATTTCTTTTTTTCCCAGCAACTGAAAGAAAAACAGTGGATATTTTGAAACTTAGATACTAACATTTTTTTGTCTCTGTTAAAATCTACATAAATTGGATGAATTCAAAAGGTCCTGAACAATAACAGATTCTGTTGCTGTCAATAAAATTTGGGGAATTAAACATTCATGAAAATTTGGCCATGTTCCCACTGTATATGTGTTTAAATATCTAATTCTATGCACTTGCATGTATTCACTTAAGTAATCTCAGCCTTTTATGCAAACTCCCAAACGAAGTTAGAGATAGACCCCCATTCTCTAACCACTACCTTGTTCTGCTTGACACATGTCCTACAAGGCCTTTGAACTCTTTGGCTATCGACACATGCCCTACAAGGCCTTTGAACTCTTTGTCTGTTTTCTGGTACTTAAATAATGGTGGACAGATAGAAATAAAGGTATCTGGAAGCAACGACATGAGTCAAAGGTGATTTAGGAAGCTGCAAAATCTACAACCAGGAACAGAAGAAATGAGAATCTGGGGAGTGACTACAAACAAGAAGTTTCTGCTGGGTTGAAGCATTTCTTAAGGTTCCCTCTATGATAGGAAAGTGATTCATTGTTGACAACAGTTGGCAAAGGTCTTACTGTACTGGCTTAAAAATGGATTCACTGTGTTAATAGACACTGGACAAAAGTAATTCTCAAAGCATGTAACAATACTGTAGTGGTCTTAAAAATGGTCATGTCCCTTTCTGAGGACATCAGTCGCAGACAAGTAATCAGCATCAGGTCAGTTTCCTTATGTGGAAGAGATTGTAGCGATAAGAACATTTCAATAGCAGATGGTCCAAGACAAAAAAGAATAAAAAAAGCCTTTGCACTGAATACATCATTCCTGCTGTGTCACAGGCAGCTTGTTTAGGACACGGTGCGGTTACAGACACACACAAGAACTCTTGATAAAAAGAAATAATACACTGGCTGAATAGAATGCTAAATTATGCTGCAGCAAGAAAGTGCACTTTAACAAGCATGATGGGTGAAGCACCTACAAAGCACATCCTTAATGTTAAAGCTATTCCAACTTCTGACAGAGAATTCTTGCTTCATATGCACTACCTACAAATTGTAATGGATCATGTTTACAGACAACAGAAGAGAAGGTTCAAAGATGGGGAAAGAAATAAAAATCACAATGAAGGAGAAAGCTGAGCACTGAAAAGGAGATGGCAAGGACTTTCATAGGAAAAGGCTGAGGGGAGGAGAGGAAAAGAGCGAGAAAGATGTCACAGGGAACCTGCCTGGTGGAAGGTGAAGGACAGGGACTGTGAAGTTCTCTGTTGACCTCTATGGCTAGTGGTTTGCTGGTAAGGGAGTTGTGTGGCACTTAAGGAATATTTTTATTTATTCAAGCAAAAGAGATGTGGCAGGTGTAGTACTCATCACACATGTGATAATTATATCTTTGGAGCATTATGAACAGCAGCCAAGCGCATTCAGCGCTCCCACAGGTTAGCTACAGCCTTCCCGCACCTTGCCTTACTGCTATGGCAGAAGGCTTTATCACATGTGGGTGTGCTATATATATAGAACAGGACAAGGAAGGAGGAAGAGATTTATATTTAGAGGCAGAATCCAAGACTGAAATGGAATTTTGGAAACGCAAACTGTACAATAAGCAATTCTGAAAACATCATGCCTAAATCTGAAACTCGTTTTCAAATGACCCTTGTGATCAAGAATCTTTTGTCTTTCAGAACCAGGATTAATTATGTAGTATAAAAATCCTTTTATGGCATCATTAGAGTCTGTTGAATAGTCTGGATTTGAGCCCTTGCTATGGCCTTTTTTTGATACTCCAAACTGGAAGCTGCCAGGGGTTCAGGGTGGACAAGATTCTCTGCTGAGTTTAAATGTGGATCTCTTGCATCCCTCGTATCCTGGGGGCTTTATGTCATTGGGAGAATGCATGTCCCCATTTGTGTCCAGCTCTGGAAAGTCTTGCGAAATTATTGTTTAAAGTCATGGCATAGGAGCTTATATGAAAACCCATTTCAGATCACTACTGAGTATTTTTATCGTAGGAACCATGTAACTCTGATTATATTTTAGAAAGACAAAGATCAGACCTCTACTGTTTGACCAGCTATCTTTTAAATTCCCTAAAACTCTTGTAACCTTTCATAGTTATGCAGCACATACAGATACAACAGGGAAATGTAAAGATTTTGTCAACAGAAACTCAGGATAAGCAGCATAAATTGAATTTAGTGAGATTTCCCACATTCTGAGAGATACAGTCTTCATTTCTCTATTCATGGTGGACACCAGAGAAGAGAAACGATGTGCTTGTGAAGAATGTGACACTCCTGTATAATAGGGATTGAGGACTTTGTGTAATTGCGCACACAACAAACAAATTTGGAAAAAATCATGTAGGTAGCCAAGCATGACACAAAGGTCATGTTACAGTTGTTTTCTGGGAGTAGCAATTACAAACATGACCATGAAATTATCTGGCATGATGGTCACAACTATTTCTACACTGTATGATCCTGCCTAGAGGCGACTGTCTTCATGAGGATTTACAAAAGCCCTTGAATACGAATAAAAGCTCTCAGAAAAGCAGTAACACAAAAATTTACTTACTATGCCTCTAGGTTATATGCAGCTTTGGGGAACATCCAAAGAGCTGCACTATGCATATCCTACAGATTTTAGAACGGTGAGAACATACCCCTGGTGTAATATTGATATTGCTTTGGTGCAATACGGTGCATTCATGCAGTTACTAGCTGGGCAGCGCAAGTTTTTTCCTTCTCTCTGTTCCTGCTGATGACATTTTATTGTTTCTGGTCAGGATGCCGGCATCCCTGAAGATGCCCACCATAGGGTCTTTTTTCCACATATTATTGGGATAAAAGCATATAGTATCATGACATTCTCAGGAACGTATGCTACATACCTGATAATCTCTCAGGCTAATAAAGACTTAGGGCTAAGTTCTATCCTCAGCTGCGCCTCTGTGATTCACACTGAAGCAATAGGCCTCCACTCTCCTTCTTGCTATCCTCTATACAGCACAATTAACACTGGGGAGTTGTACAGGGATGCAATGACCATTTCCCATTTCATTTAATTAATTAAAATATTTCAGCAAAACAGAACAGATAACTGACTGGCCCTGGAGAATTTGCATTCTGATGTGGACTGAGATCCTCCTGCTGAGGTAACCACTGAATTTCAGCAGAGTCCACACAGTGATGCCCCTTCTTTCTTTCTGTTTTTCATTCTTGCTTTTCTTGCAGAAGCACTGGGGAGCATGCCAACCCAATTGGAGTGATGCTGGTCTATGAGAGAGGTGTACGTTGGCCAGAAGCAGTGAGAATCTAGAGGATAACTTTAAGAAAACTGAATCTGTCTAGCTTAAAATTGAGCTGGTTTGCTGCTCAACAGGCTTTATTACAGTCTAGGAAAATAGGACAGCACTTCAGCACTTTGTGAATAATCTTGCTCTCCCTGTGACAAGTCACAGGCAAGGCCTGTCACAGAATCCATAGTAGGAAGATAATTCGTAATCCACAAGGGCATGCTATTGTCCTTTAGACACGTATCTAGAGCTGACTGTGAATATAAAAAGCACCTTGCTCATAATAAATCGGAGAGCAGTAGCTGAGGCTGATACATAAGGTTCAATCTTACGTATTTTCTTGCTGAAGTCAGCAGTGGTTTCAGAGTTTTTGGCAGACTTTTCTTACCACTGTTCTTGATGTGATGGGACTTTGGTCCCCACAGAAGGAGGTTATCATCTCGCTAGGTGAAAACCAGCAGCAACTATAGTGAACCTACAAGCAAACTAAACAGACTCTTTCGCCTTTACCACTGGCTCCTACGCTGATTATTACAAGAACTGCATAAGAATTATTCTCCGAGCCAGAAAAGCACCAAGGGAAAATCACTGATGGTGCAGCTACCAGTGAAAGCTTCCATTGTTCATAATATTTTCAGGACACACTGTTTTCAGTTGGAAAGCCAGGGTAGGTTATTCACTTTGTTTTATCCTGTTTTATTGTTTTAACCCTCTTTGGTGGAAAAGCTATTGAACTGTACTCCGTATGTATGGAAATCCTGGCCAAGGTAAAAACGCCAAGTGGCTTATTGTTTCAATGAAAGCAGCTAATTTTCTCTTTCCCTTTGAGCTCAAGTGCTTCACTTTTCTATTGAGGCTCTATGGAACATTAGTTTCCACAAAGGTCTTTTTTTTAGCTAATACATATGTATAAAAGCAAGCTCTATTATGGCACCCCAGATCTGTATGACTGTATTAGAAAATTAACATTCTGGTTATATTGGAAGATTATATATGCTGACATCCCTCACAGAACATATTACTACTGATTATGAGCAATAGCCTGTCCTTGGGAATCTAAGTCCTGCACAGCAGTAACCATAGAGGCTCAGGGAAATCGCTCACTACTGACAAGTCCTGAGTATAAGGATATCCTGTAAATAGAAACCCACTGCTCCTAGTTCTGGGTTTATCCCACAGATGTGTGCTGCAGAGGAAACATGTTTCTTTGTACCCAAAGGCAACAGGTTATTCACATCACAAGTAAGATCAGTTCCACTTCCAAATGTTGTCCTTGAGGTTAAAAGCTGTTGTGTTTCTACTGCAGGGCAGATGTCAGTGTAGCACAAGGCAACACCATGACAGGGTTGATATACTGTGGAAGTTGTGGGATGCTTTTCAACGTCCTGTGGAACCCTAGAAAACCTTTTTCAAATTCAGATGCCTGGTAAAACTAACACCCATCTTTGGAAAGGAACTACTCTCAGCCAGAGCTCTCCTGATGGCAGCAGAATTACACCAGGAATGATTATGAATGAGTTAGAATCATAGAGTAGTTAGGGTTGGAAAGGACTTTAAGATCATCTAGTTCCAATCCCCCCGCCATGTGCAGGGATGCCTCACCTAGATCATGTCACCCAAGGCTTTGTCCAACCTGGCCTTGAACTTGTTTTGGTTTGTTTTGTTTTAGTTCTAAGAAACTGGATTTACACAATAACCAAGGAGAGATTAGATGTTAGATCCCTCCTGAAACTCCTGCTGGTTTGAAGACTGGCATTGCTCCAGACAGCACAGCTGATGAAGGCAGTCTCTATAGTATGGATACTATAGAAATAAAAGCTTCTTTGAGACAATTCATCAGTAGGAGATAGCTTGTGTTTGAAAGGTACTCTCCTGATCTCACATAGCATATGTCTCTGTGGAGCTGAGAAAGGCTGTCAGGGAAGATCTCCTTTTCCAAAAGGCACGCTTGAGCCTGGCTTCTCATGCAGATCTTTCTGTCATTCACAGACCCAGCCTTTCAAAGCTCTACAGCTTTTTATAAGAACAAAAAGAACATCCAGTAATTCTGAATTATCTTCAGTGAAAATGGTTTTTCCTTCAGTCTCCTGGGTAATTTTTTCCTTTGATAGTGAGTTCAATTTGGTGGCAAGCTCAGCCTGTAATTATGGTGGTAGTGCTGGGATGGTTAAATGCCCTAGAAGCCCGATGCCACTATACAAATAAATATATTACCTTTCACTTGAAATCTCCCTGTTGCTTCAGTCATGTCAGGTTGCAGCTTGCCCAGTGCAGTCTCTGCCCTCTGGGAAAAAATGTGTTTATAGCAAGGCAATGGGGATTCATGCCTGCTAGATGATTTTAGCAGGCTGGTAAAAATGAAGTCTCATGTGCAACAGATGAAACTCAACGATCAAGCAAAAACCTCAGAATCCAGAGGGCAGATGACTGCTCAAAAGTCCAGGCCTCATCTTCAACTATAGTAAATCAGGGGCATGACCGTAATTATTAGTGCTTACTCAAAGTCACTAGTACCAGATGAGGAACTTACTTGAAAAGATTAACTGACTTCCCACATGAATTATTTGTATCTCTAACACTGGGCCAAATTCCAATTCTCTTAGTCAGATTCCAATAAAAGAAAAGACTCATTCAAATAAATTCTTCCTTACATTTTATATGTTCCAGCAGAAATATTGGTCTATGGGGGGTTTAAATGAGGGCTCAGTGAGAAGATAACTTAATAGTTCTTGAAACCAGGAAAGTTGGTTTCTCTCTCTGCCTGTGTGATGCAGTAACAAAACAAACCAGAAAGAACTTCAAGCCTCAGAATCAAAGGCAAATCTGAATTTACCCATAACTAAGGGATTTGCAGCTACACAAGTTTGAAACAAGCACTTTACAAAAGTTGAAAGCCTTGGCAAAATTTGTATCTCACTCAGAATTTCAAATACAATAATGTAGCCATTCATTTTCCTGGATGAAGGAGCCTATCCATCTCTTTGAGATGAAAAGCAATCTGACTGAGGCCTTGAGGATTTTAACTGTCCTCGGGTAAAGGGTGAAAAACCCCTTCTCAATAACAAACTTCAATTCCCCTACTATATATCACCCATTTTCAAATTAAGTCGAAAGGTGCATGGAAACTCTTTATCTCCCCGAATCTTACATGTCCTGCTCTGGTGAAACTTGGGGCCCTGTTTTAACATTTCCAAAATGGGAAAAAGTAACGAAGCTCTATTTTCTTGTAAATCTCCTATATCTTCTTCCATGAAATATGTTGGATGTAGCTATTCCTTCTCCTAATGCCAGGAGCATAGTGATCACGATGCCAGACCACAGTACTGCTATTTTCCTGCGGGCATGTTGGGCTATTTTAAGTAAACTCCATTCTAAGTCATGATTATGCTTAGAGCTGGGTTTAACTTCAGCTCTCCTGGCCACATTCCAGCCAAGATAATTATGTTCTGCTTGCCAAAATTCCCCATGCAGCTTCAGTGCAAAACAAGCTATCCTTCATACACGTCCTTATACACTTGTATCCTTTGTTTTTAAACACCTGTCCCATTTTACCCTGAAAGTGGCTGAACTCTAATGATGTGAAAACAAACCCTGCATTTACAGTTCATAAAGTGCTTTAGGATCCTTTGGGGCTAAGGACATTAAATGAATGCAAGCTGTAATATTAAAAATATATGAAACTTTACAGTAACATTTGCCATTGTTTTTGGGACTGTGTAGCAGCAGGGGACCCATTGTGCTGGGAACCGTAACTGCAGAATAAAGATGGTTCTCCAAATTGGATCCAGCTGGAAGAAGTAGTCACATATCCAGCTGCTGCTTCCTGTAATTTGATGAGCACAAGCAACTTGGTGGGGTGCTAAAAGGAAGGGCTACAAATGCCTGAGCACCATGAATAGGCTTAGCCTGATTCCTTCAGAAAAGAGGCCATAATCCAAACTAAACGATTTAGCAGGTAGGCATCAGCAGGCAGGTGAAGGAAACCTATCACAATTTCTCCTGGGGTTTGTAAATCACTGGCTGACACTAACAGGAAAGCAGATTGAATTTACAACATATTCCACATATCATATCTTGTAATACAGATAAGATCTCCTCCTCTTCAGTTTGTAGAGGAGAGGGCCAAGAGTATGTGTGGGAGATGCAGCCAAGGTTTAGGAAGTCATGAAAGTGATAGATAAGTTGAATGTGGAACTGTTGATCACCAAATCTCACAATATTAGGAGAGGACATTGACTAAAAGTAGTAGTAAATCAGCTTAAAACACAGACGAGAAAGTACTTGTCTTACGCAGCAGGTAGTGAACTTTTGGAACTTGTTGTCACAGGAGATTGTGAGGGCAAAGGCCTTAAAGGGTTCAGATAAATCCATGGATTACAGGTCTATAAATAGCCACTAAAGGCAAAAAGCAGAAGTGTACCCTCTAACATCTCTAATGTAGTAAGCATAAATCTGGGAGCAGTCAAAGGGGACTGGAAAGCATGAAATGGCAAGGCTTGTGCATTTGCCCTCCTGCCACTGTCAGGACCTGAACACTTGGTCAGCTGGACCACAGGTCTGACAAAATTACTTATGTACCTATGATGAGCATTTGACAAACACTGAAGGGCTCAAGGTATCCCTAAGGACAGTACAGAACCTCAAAATACACCATCATGGCGCAAGCTATAGAGCACGGATAGGCTTAGCCCATATTTAAGGAAATTTTGAGGGATTAACATATTCTCCCCAGCATAAAGTGCATTCTTACGCAAGTCATGCAAAAAGGAAGAAATTACTCCTCCTGCCTATTCTTGCTCTCTCTGATGCTAAAATGTATACCCTAACATATGTCATTGCAAAAGTATTATCTTACATATTGTTAGGCATCTCCAGTAACTACAATGGCACAATTTCAAGGAGGCATTACTCCCTCCTATCTGATGTATTTCCTTGTCACTACAGTATTGCGCTCAGCATTTGAAGGGTGTCATTCACGCTGCAGGATGGGAGGTATCAGCCATGTATTTCTATCACAAGACACCGTAAAGTGTACAAGAATCATTAAAGAAATGTAAATAGACCAGTCATTTCCACTCTTTGGTCTATATATTCTGGGTTTAATGATCTGTCACCAAAAAGGGGATTTAAAAAAGAACAAAAGTTATTCTTTTAGCTACTATGAAAACCCAGAGCTGCTTATCCTGGGCATTCTGTGCTTTATTTACATGGATGTAAACCCGGAGTCTCTCCATTAATGTCCAGAGGAAGTCTACATTGCAATTAAGATAAGAACTAGGATCAACAGATATTCGGCACCGTCTCCTTTCACCCACTGAGATTTTTTTTCCCCTTAAAAAGGCTGACATTTGCCCTGGCTTTAACCCACCAAGCTCAATCCAATCCCTACACACATATATCTGTGTAGATGTACTCACGCTAGCCTAGCACCGCAGTTTTCGCCTTCAATATCTGCTCCAGGGACGTTGTCTGTGTTCACTGACTCGGTCTCACTGGTGGGCATGCTCACTGTAAGAGTCAAAAGGAAGAAAAAGAGAGGGTTGATCATTAGAACCTGGCATATCTATTAATGAGTCATATGAGGGAAGGAACTAGCTTAATAAAAAGACTTAATAAAGCTTAATAAAAAGCTGCTGCTCCTGAGGATTAAGCAGTTTGCTAAGCAAGTCTAGTGCCTCCATGTACAGGCCAGGTTGGGTAGGTAGACTTCAGAAATATACACAGGTCATCCAAATGCTAAAGAAAAGAGATGAAGCAGCTGCCCTTTTTCTTTCAGAGTCAGTTCCTGGAACTTTTATGAATGAGAACCACTGAAAACTAGAGAACTTGGCAAAGACAAGAAGCTTTTATTTGATTCAATGGAACACTTAAAAAAGAATTCCCCTTTACTTGCACCAGCCCAGCCACCTCACTGCCCTCCCCAATCTTTTGTGCAATGATTGGAATACAAATAAAATGTACCAGATTGACATGTGTTCAGACAAGTGTTTTCTGTTAGCCTGATAGCAAGTACCACATAAAGAATACCAGTGGTTCATACGTCATATACCAACCATTAATGTGTTTCAACATTACACTTACAAACTGGACCTACAAGGCTAAGAGGGGAATTCAGACTCTTTGATCCATTCAAAGGAGCTAATGAATACGGATTATGATAGAGATTTTATATTGACACTCACCAACTAATATCTGGACACAGTTTCTTAGGGTTTTACAGAAGTGGAACAACCTTAGGCATCAACTTATCTCATTTGGATTCAACGACCTGTCATGTTTTCTATCTGTTATCAAGCCTCACTATTTTAATTGCTCTACAGTTCACACACACACACAAAAATCACCATTTCTAGTCCACCAGCTGCTCTTGGCTCCTGTATGAGCTAATAAGTCCTAAATATATAATCATCAACAGAAGTTAGGACAATGGAGAGGATCCAATATGTGTCCTCTTTGTTCCTCCCTCCTTTTCAAATACACAAACCAAATGAAAAAATGATACTTAAAACTGAATGATGGAGGAGTTAAACAGATCTTTTAGATGCCTGGTAAAACTTCAGAACATGACCTGTATTAACAGTTGGATATCTAAGAGATGAGACTTGAGAGTATGCACTATTTCGCTGTTGGAAGGCTTCTAATAGCCTGTAAGAATACATTACTCAGAGCTAAGAACATATCTGTTTGTGGGTTCTTGGCGCAAAAGGAAGCAATGTAGAACAAATAGCTTCTGCATCTCAATTGGGCATATGGACTTTTCATTAGCGACTGTAGTGATAGGACAAGGGGTAATGGGTTAAAACTTAAACAGGGGAAGTTCAGATTGGATATAAGGAGGAAATTCTTTCCTGTTAGGGTGGTGAGGCACTGGAATAGGTTGCCCAGGGAGGCTGTGAATGCTCCATCCCTGGCAGTGTTCAAGACCAGGCTGGACAAGGCCTTGGGTGGTATGGTTTAGTGTGAGGTGTCCCTGCCCATGGCAGGGGGGTTGGAACTAGATGATCTTAAGGTCCTTTCCAACCCTAACTATTCTATGATTCTATTCTATGATTCTATATGCTTAATGGATCATGGGGCCCCATCTTATTTCAGAGGCTTGAAAGTTATCAGCAGGTTTATCCAAAGAGGTCCTGGATTCCTGTTTTGAAAGCATGATGGTAGAAATGTCACTCAAAGTGAACTATGTTTCCTTCATCCTATCCCAACAATTCACAAGCCTACAGCATATATCTTAGGAAATCTAAAGGTCTTGTGCTGTGTTCTTTGGACCATATGAAATAATGGACTCTAGCACTCTTGGCATAACTATTAAATATCATACTCTAATGGTGCCTGTTCCTTTACAAGGACTATATGTTTTAATAATCTTGTCTATTTGGGAAGGCAAATTAAAGAATCAACTGAATTCATATTTTGATGCACATGAAGCAGCCAAGCTGTAAGAAAAAACAACATTCATAATTCAAATTTGCAGTCCAGACTGAGTCCTTCAGCAAAAAATACCCAAACCCAAAATGCTAATATTTCACAAGTCATCTTTGAAGATGAGGTAAAGCACTTTCAAGACATAATCGAGCTTATTTGCAAATGGAAAACAATTTTGAAGACATTAGCAAGAGATTGATTTGCAGAGCAGCTTATTATCTTGAGTGCATGAAGAGAACACTGAACAAGCAATACAGAAAGTAAGGCAGGCACATGCAGAAGTATACAAAGCTATATATGTCAGTTTGTATGATATACAGACACACAAACACACAGATATATGCAGTGTGGACACAGAGTGCAGTGGAACATTACCATGAGTTTCTGTGGAGTGACTAAACCAAGCAAACTTTCCTTTCTTCTCATCAGGCAAGCCAGCTGGAGTGCTTCCTTTCACAGACAAGATGGTCAGTGTCAAGTACCAGGAACAAGACATCAACAGAGAACATGCAGCCAGTGACAGGCAAAAGAAAAAAACAAGGAACTCAGCTTACACGACGTCCACTTCTGTCTGAAAACTTCATCGTGTGAATTAAAAGTGCAAAATGAAAGCCAAAGGTATACGGAAGTATGAAACATCATAGCAGATCATCAGAGGACAACTATTCCCGGCTTTCTGCTCTTTTTGTATCTGGCTTCTGAGAACATGAAGTCGCTGAATTTGGGTTTACGCGTCAACTCCTTTTTCTAGTGATGTCAATGGCAAAATTCCTCATTTGTCTGTTTAACATATTGAAGTTGATGAGACCTAGGCAATTACAATTTGTCCTCAGGTTATTCCCTGAACCTTATGGTCAGAATCTGGACTAGCCTATTTTTGAATGAGGTTCATCTGCTTTCTTCCAAAACTGCTCCAATATGTAGGAATTTTCCAAAACTATCAGAGCTGCTAACAGAAAGTTGTTGGGGTAATCACATTTCTCTGTATTTCCCCATCTCTAGAGATTAACAACTTTCACCAAGCACCCAGATGTATGTTGCCTTACTAAAACTAAGATACCCCTAGACTATGCCTCATAATTTCTCTTTGAGTTTAGATTCAGCATTCACCCTCTGATGTCCTCCTGGTGCGTGGCTTTTCACAGCATTAATGTTGATCCTCTGCTGTTATGCACAGAGGTCTTTGGCCCACACAGATCAGAGGTGCATGCACAGAGATGTCCTAGAAGGTACTTTGCGCTTCCCTAATCTTACTGCTGCTGAAAGCCAAATTTAAGCAAGGTGGGAGACGCAGGTGCTGTGGCACATGGGCTGAAGAGACTGCTGTGGTTCTGGCTAGCTTTCTGGCACTAGCTCACAGACATTTATTACATGGCACTGATAGAAAATGTTAAGGACAATAAAAAGCATTAAGATGGTATCAAATATTAGAGGAATGATGGCCAGAACTTAAAGGTCAGGACAGACAGGGGATTAGGACCGTATTCCCTAATGCCTCAGCAGGACAACCACTTACTTTACCTGGCACCTCACATCACCTTCAATATCAGGTTGTGCAGATGCTGTGAGGTTCATTGAGGTCAGTTAACAAATCCTGAAAATAGAAGATGCTGCAGAAGGGTTGTGTATAAATTAGGGCTGAATATGAGAGGCAGTAGACCAAATACTGCCCAGATGGCTTTCTTATCTGACTCAGTTCTCAGAGATGCAGACCTTGTGCCCACACTCTGGCTCCAGCATAGAAACAAGGCAGTCATTTTTGCAGTCCGGATAATTAATTACTGGAACCATGTACCAAGAATGATGATGGTGGTAAATCCACCACAGGAATGTTTTAATCAGGAAGAGATTTTTTTTTCTAAATGGTGGGCTCTAGTCCAGACCAGAGTTATGTTTAAGACCATGCTTTACAGACTAAGCCATCTCAATGGCCACTTCCTTCCTGTAATTTCAGGAGCTGAGACAAAGGCAAGAAAGAGGCAAATGCATATTTCCTCCCACCTCAGTAAAAAGAGACTTAGCAGTGGAAATCCTGGTGCCTTGCGTTCTGTGTCACATGTGTTCAGGGGCTTATGCACTGTTACAGGAGTGGTTCCCTGTCAGCTTCAAAAGGTCCACTGCTTGTAACTCAGTCAGAACCACAGGGCTTGGTTCTGTCAGATGTAGAGGAAGCCCACCTCCCTGCTTCCTGGCCTTCAACCAGACCATTAAATCTTCCATCTCCACATACTTTGCATTGAAGGTGCTTCAGAGTCCAAACTGCAGCATGGGCAAGGCAGTGATCAATCCCTGTGAATACTGCTCAACTGCCAAATGATGTTGTATACAGGCATATATAGGTGACTTCTTGACAGTAAAGAACAACTCTGTCCCCACACTTGTCCATCCTAAGTGACATCAGGTTGTTAAAGAGGTAAGAAGGCATTTCTGAATTTTGGATTTAGCACTGCACCCATGATAGACTCTGGTTGATGAAATCTCCTGTTAGTCACAGGTTCTCTAGGTAGTGCAGCATAGTATTATTTTAAAGGGAAGAGAAACAACTTTTAAAAGGCATTCAAGTATCTCATAGTTTCAACAGAGTGCAAACCATAAGGACCAGAAGATTATATACTCTTTCTTCAAAAGCTTCTGAAACCTTTACATATTGGCACAGTGTGGCTCATCTCTCAATGTAGACATTTTATCCTGGACTACCTAAACTCAAATTTCACATTTCAGCAGCAGCTAAAGCAACAATAAAAGCTATGTAGCAGCTTCCTTCAAAATAAATCAGAAAAATGCTTCATGTTATGTCAATTCTAGCTCTTAGACCCAACAGACAGAAAGAAGGACAAAGAGTCTGCAGTCTGTGACTGGCTAGACAGATAGATGTGCGAGACCCTTTGAGAGCCTTTGTTTCATGTCACTGGCATCAAGCGTTGATACCAGCCCTACTCTTGCACTAACATATGTCCCTTCTCTACTGAAATGCCCCATGGACATGCAATGAATTATTAGATGGCAGGTTGCCAAAAGACAGTCAGCCACTGAAACAGAAAGCTGCCACAAGCAAATACGTTTCTGTGTAGCTTTGAAATAATTTCTTCCTTTACACGCTTGGAGAGCAATATTTGCTCCCAGTCCAGAAATATCATTACCACTGTTGCATCTTGCATTTATGACACTTCTGTCATCTTGACGGTGGAAAAAAATCTATTCAGATTCATCTCCGTGGATTACATAATGTTGCCATAATTGTTGCTGAATCTCACTTTAATACTGTGACAATTTAAGATTGTCTTCTCTTAAGAGAAGACTGTGCCTGGGCAAAGGGTGCTCAGTCCCACAAACATAGACAAAGCACAAACTTCTCAAAGATTTTAATGGGTAAGTTACTACATGACTTTGCAGATCTGGGTATCAGTTCTAGAACTGGGTATGTTAGAGACTTCACACTGCCTGACTTCATGTCTCTGATTTTGCTCTCTGAGTTAGACTACACAGGCAGATAGTTTCCTATCACGGGTTTTGAGGGCTATACTGATATCTCCCTCAATGGTATGGACAGGATGGGCATTTACTTTATGCTGGTGGTTAGGTAACTGGCTTGAAACAATGTGACTATCCAACAGTTCATTCATATTGATAAAGACCTGTAGTGGTTTTCAAACTAAGAAAAGCAGCAATACACTTGATTGTGTTTTCTAATATGCTCAATGGGACTCCAATTTCTTCAACACTCCAATTTCTACTAGTATTGAATTGCTTTGCAAAACATGGGTCTAAATCCACCTTTTGCTTGTGATGGCAATTGAGGTCAGAAGGACTTGAAATCACTCCACCACTTTATTTTGTCACCTTGGTCAGACAACCAAGCCTTTCTATGTATCCATTCTGTTTCTCTAAAAGGGGGATTATAATTCTGCACTCACCTTGCAAATCTCTCTGAGATCTGCTGATGAAATATATTACAATAAGAGCTAAGTACTATAGTTATTACTGATGCTGATGTCTCCCAATTGGGAATCTGCGGACCTATAAAGCAAATCTAAAGAGCAAAGAAGTCCTGTGAATTCTCCAGCTGAGATTTAAGATTTCTTTTTCCACAACAAGAATAAATTGCAATATCCAGGCTGCTTCCTTTAACAGAACGTGCATTGAGTGAATGACTTTGTTTCCAGTACAAACCCTGCTTCCCATGGTGCCTCTCATGCCCATCATTTCATGAATGAGTCTATGGCAGCTGTCAGAATATTAATCATCTCATATTTTCTTTGGTGAAGAGCTCTCATTTTAATTAATACATGAATATTGCCTAGCTTTCCTCTTCTCATTGCTTGGTTTGGAAATGCTGCACTCATTTATTTTATTCATTAATTTGAATAGGATACAGCTTTCATTCTGCTACATGCATACAGTGTCTTGGGAACAATCAGTGAGTGTGTTCCTAAATGCAAGCAGCGTGCAGAAAGTAAACTGTGCAGAGGTAAATTATTAGTTTTCTCTAGATGTCCTGATTTTGTTAGGAAAATATACTAGATACAACTGGGGGACTCTTGCATTTTCTATTTTGAAACAGAGCTCTGGAATAGGAAAGCTTCTACAGGAGAAGAGGAAAGGGAACTTGAACTATATGTAGGATCTTGGTGGTTCCATACCTCTCAGACAGAATGCATGAATGAATCCAACACAGTAAAAAAAAAAATAAATCAGAAATATTGGGAAAATACTTGGAAAATGTTTACCAAGGGCTCAGAGACGAATGCTCATATATGGACAGTGTATATACAGACAGTATTACACACACAATATTTCAGTAAATACATGTAATATATACAGTTTGACGTAACATAATTTTGTGCTATGTACAAATGACGGCAATTGCAAAGAGAGAGCTTGATTCAAACTATCCTTCAAGGTCAGCCACGGAATCTAAGATAGTAATAAAGAGCCATAAAGCGATTGCCAGTTGTATCCACTTCAGTCAAACAGAAAAAGGCTTTTGATAAAAAGATCTTTGCACCAGTGAACCAGCAGCAAAGGTGCTGCAGCTAGTATGTACTAACAAGACCTGTCAAAACAGTAAAACCAGGCTGGGCTATGGACTGCGTCAGAGAAGGCTGATGCAGTTTAGCACTGTTTTACTGAATGAAGTAGACCTTACTTCCTTTACAGAAAGGAGGAATGTTGCCAATATTGAGATAGAGTACTGTATCCTCAAACATCTCACTCAAATAAATTATACATCTTACAACATAAATTGCAATGTATATATTTATATAAAAAGACTAGTTCTTACATGTCCTTCTCCCCTTCCGGAGTGTCACAATAGGCACATATACATCCTGTGATGTTGAGAGGATATAGCCATAGGCTAAGTAAATGTATACCATACCCAAAGAGGAATAGAAGAAAGAGCAGCGTGTATCAAATGCACAGGCATGTGATTAACAGATCTGTCATTACCA